ACCTCTCAACATAATCACACTGGGGAACTTTGGAGGATCCATTCACATCACAGCACCAGTTATGTGAACATGCCTGGTGGCTCAGGCATATCTGGACCCAGAGACTTGTCTATCATATCATGGTCCATCTCAACAATACAGTGTGTTCTTTGAGGACAGAGACTCTGTCTGCCATCTGTACTATAATATTTTGAGGACATCAGGTATGATCCTGGCACACAGCTGTTTGATAAATATTTAAGCATAGTGAAGTGTAGCTCTCCCACACTTCCAATATACTCACTAGCTCTAAGGAGGGAGAGCTTTGCCTCAATCCTTTTGCTCCTTCTTTCCTTTCTTCCTCTCCTTCTCTATTGTCTCTCTCCCATCCATCCATCCATCCATCCACCCATCCATCCATCCATCCATCCTTTGATCCTTTGTAATCCACCCATTCATTATGCGTCCATCTACCTACCCATTTATCTATTCATCTATCATTCCTTCCTTCCGTTCTTATTTGGAAACCAGCATGTAGCTCCTTTTGATTTAGTTTTCCTCTGTGTGAGTGTCTCCTATCACATTTGCCCTCTCGATCTCCTACCCTCCTCCTAATACCACAGTGCCACTCTCAGTATTTCAAATAAGGTCCACAAGGTACCATCTAAGTGGGCTATTATAGATCATTGGCCCCCATCATTATGACCAGATTGAAATGATGTTTGTCAATTGGCCAGGCCAATCATGGCCACTGCCAGGATTGGAGGTCGTGTCAGTTTCCCACGAACTCCATGGACTGAATGAGAATAATGGAGGGGAATTTTGGGGGTTTCCTCAAATAAAATCAGGAAGCTGTTGTTGGAGGGGGACTAGATGATCCCAGGCAGAGGAAAAACAACAGATGTGCACCGAGGGGACAGCAGGGGAAGGAGGGGAAGGATAAGGCAGTGGCTCTGATGACCAGTGTCCTGATACTTTTCTATGCATCAGCTATTCCTCAGTCCTGTTCAGCTCTTGCTTCTCTTGGGCTAATGTCTCTTTGTCTAAGACACCCACCTGTGTCGTGAGCCCTGCTCGTACAGATAACAGCAACCCCTTCCTCAAGGCTTGGTTTAGCTATCATGTCCTAGAAGCTTTCCTGTAGTGCCTGCACTCCTCACATCACATCTCTTACCACATCCTGTGATAGTAGCTGGTATCATTGCTGATGTTGCTACCACAGTGTACATTCTATTAGATTCCATATGTCTTATTCTTTGTAGTATTTCCTGGTATAGTACTGGCTACATAAGAAGTATTTAATCGGTATTTAATGATGAAGGATGTAACTTCTCATCCTCACATAGTGTCATCAGATCAAAAGCAGTAGAATTAACTGTATCTTTGGCATTTTACCTTCCTCCCCTACTTTCCTCTCCCTTTCGTCCCTTTCCCTTACCTCCCATCCATGCAGCCTTCCATTCACCCTTCCACCTACCCATCCATCTACCATCAACCATCTACATCTACACATTCATGCATGCATACAGATGTACAGTGACACCTGTCCATGCTCTAGTAAATGAGGCAGGGCCCTACCTCAGGGCATTGGGACAAGATAGTCTCTAGACATGAAAAATGAGAAAGTGAAAATAGATATCAAGTTCTGTAGATATCCTAAGTCACTTCAGTGGGTGATCAAACAAACTGTGGAACTTCCCCTCTTTCTTGGATGTCTTTGTAACAGCTTGGCCCAGGAGTTCACCCACACTCAAACGCTGCAGACAGAAGTCACTGTGCCTTGGGTTGGCCCTACCCGAGGATCAAAGCACAAGTTTGAGAAATTGTTTCCTGGCAGCTGATCCTCTTGAAGTCCTATAAAGCATGCCTCCTTATGGATGCTATTAACTTCCAAGTTATCTGTTACCTTTTGCATTTAAATGAGGGTCTAAAAGTTCTCCTCCACTTCCCTCATTCCGGATCTGGCGTTTGGGAAGCTGTGAAAGGCAGGTGAATACAACAAAAGAAAAGGCCAAGCCTGGGGGCCAAAGACCCAGCTTCCAGCCTCAGTTTCTTTGAATGAAGAATTATTAAACAAGATTTCTTGAGGACCTCCTGGCTCTTACATTCTGAGAACACACAAGTCCAAGACAGTGTCCCAACTTCTGTGTCCCTTTGAGGTTGTTCCCTAGACCCTCAATGCTAGATATCGATATCATGTGGTTTGGGGTCCTCTGGACCACACACACACACACATGCCCTATCCTAGTGTGCAAATGCACACCCTGTTTCTAAAATGTCTATGTCTGCCCCTGTCTGAACATCACCAGGAGGGCATGAAGACACACATCCTCTCCATAGACACCTAGGATTTAGTAGGATGGTTGAGACTCCAAGTTCTTCTGAAGCCTAGTGAGCTTTAGGACCCTGTCATCCCTTTGCATGGTAGAGGAAGGTGGACCAAGAGGGAGCTACAGATATGAGCCCATTAGACTCCCCCAGGGGGTCAGCCAGCTTGGCTTTGAACCTTGTCTCCCTCCACCTGTGCTAGCATTTTGACCTCAAGGAAGCAGACTGAACTGGTTTTAGGTCCTCACCTGTAAATCAGAGATCGCAGATGCCTTTGCCATGGGTGTGTGTGTGTGTGTGTGTGTGTGAGTGAGTGAGAAATCAATAGTGTGGCGTATGTGGAGCATAGGTGAAGACTCATAGGAGGTGCTCAGTCAGTCTTAGCCGCTATTGCCATTTTAATTGATATCACACTCGCTAAGGGTGGTTTGAAACGCTCCTTCAGTAGAAGCAGATAACTGAAGATGTTTGTAAACTCTGAAGTACCGGATAAGCTTAAATACGACTTCACACATCCTGAATTGGCAACAGCATACAGATTTTTCTAGGCTATTGAATTGAAGTCTTTCCCTGCTGAAGCCTGTGTTTCCGGTCCGGTTAGCTCTGGGTATCTGCCAGTTCTGTATTTGTGGAAATAGTCAGGAAACTTCAGGAAATATTCAGAAAAAAATGTCCATACTGAATGTGGGCAGACTTTCTCCTTATAATTATTCTCAGCATAGTATAGCATCTATTATATACCATTTATTGCAAATGATCTGAAGATGACTTAAGGTCTTCAGAAGGACATACTCAGGCTTTATACAGTTTTATATAAGAGATGAGCATTTGCAGATTTTGGCATCCATGGGGAATGCTGAGAACCAGTCCTTCGTGAATATCAAAGGATAACTGTAATTAAATAAAGGCAACACTTGAGGGTTCCGGTATAAATAAACTCATTTCAGAGTGGTCTGCAAACAAGCTCTTCAGTGGCAGCTGTCTGGCATGTCACCCTGTACAATTGAATTCCCTACTATCTTTGGGATCAGGATCCAGTGGGATCACAGGCAGTTGGGGCCTATGTTCTGGGGGCTCTATTGTTCATGTATGGGGATTTTAGGACAGTCCTGGAAGTTTAGCTTGAAGGACATGGAAAGAACGCTGTGACTTAAGAGGAGTGAAAGAAAATGATGCAATGTGGAGGTGAAAGAGACCAAGGCAGGTGAAATCGTGGAAAGTGAGGACACCCTGCTGGGATGCCACCTTGGTTCGTTTAAACAGATGCACAGTTGAATGACTGATTTAGACAGTGGTTCTCAACCTTCCCAATGCTGTGACCTTTTAATATAGTTCCTCATGTTGCCGTGACCCCCAACCATAAAATTGTTTTCGATACTACATCTGAACTGTATTCTTGATAGTTCTATGAATCATATTGTAAATATATCTGTGTTTTCTGGTGGCCTTGGGTGAATCCCGTGAAAGGGTTGTTCAACCAAAGGGGTCACGATCTAGACACACATCGAAATGCTTCCCGCACCAGTGGGAACGGCCCAGTACAGATGATAGGTTGCTGCTGAGATGTGCAGACCTGGAAAACTGAAGAAGAAGATTTGATGTAGCAATCGTCACTAAACCCAGGAGGGGTATGTGTCTAGATCCAAAGAGCATTAACAACATGACATCAAAGCCCAGAACTGAGTGCCTCTGAGCACAGAGGGATGGGGGAGCATCATAGGGGAAGGTAGGCACCCCAAGAAGACCAGTAGATGCTTCCATTGCTTGACCACATGATCTTTCTGTCAACTATGGCCTAAAGACCCTTGGGGATAATAGGACCTCTTTGCTCACCTGCTAAGCTTGCAGTCATTCCTTCTGGCCACTAGATGTCAAGCATGTACCAGCAGGGACTCTTTATGGGCTGTGAGGGTTTGCAAGTGTTTATTGGAACTGGCATACTGGAATGGATGAAATCTGTGAGAAGTGGGTTCTCGTGGCTTTGGGGGAAACTGGAAGTGAGCCACGTGGGTGGGCTGCAGAAAAGTCTCCATTAAGATCTGAGAGGAAATGCTGACTTCATGTCTCATTCATAGGTCACTTTGCAAGTTTGGAAAGGTTTCAGGATGAAACTTTGGGCGCAGAATTCCCCCTGTTATAATCATATCCTGTTTTGTTATAGGAGATGAGTAGCAGAGTGCAATTTGCTTTGTTGGAATTCTTTGTATAGCTGAGGTTGAATGTATTCCAGGGACCACAGAGTATCTATTAAGTTATATAACAGGGCAGTTTGCAAAAGCCCTTTTTAAGGGCTTTCCCATTGACTTGGGGGTAGAGATGAAGAGGAAGGATATAAGGGTCACAGCTAGCAGGACTAGAGAGGACAGCCAACAAGGGCCCAGCTTGCCATTCCACCTGTGGGTTGTGGTGGCTCTTCTTAATTTCCCGTTTACTAGCTCATGCTTGTAGGGCCTCAATGATATTGATGATGATAATGAAGAAAAGGGTGATGATGATGTCACTCATGATAAAGTCAGCACACCTGAGGAACTTCATTTCCAGTCCTCGGGGAGTCTAAGCAGAAGTAAAGAAACTAAGATGAATGTGTAATGGGGAGGAAGAAAGTTATGTAGAACTTGGGGCAGGGCCAGGAACAGGATGTACCATGCTGATCCCTAACAGGCTGCTGGTTTCTTGTACAAATGTGTCCCCAGGTCATGAAAACCTACCACATGTACCACGCAGAGAGCATCAGTGCAGAAAGCAAGCTGAAGGAGGCTGAGAAGCAGGAGGAGAAACAGTTCAACAAGTCAGGAGACCTCAGCATGAACCTGCTCCGGCATGAGGACCGGCCCCAGCGCCGCAGCTCTGTGAAGAAGATTGAGAAGATGAAGGAGAAGGTGAGTGGGAGAAAAGGGACAAGGCATGAAGAGGAGAGCCAAACGCTCAGATGCAGAATTGCCTTCCCCTTTGTGGGAAAGAGAAAGAGCCCTGTCCTGGTTCCATTTGTGCTGCTGTGATAAAATAGTCTGACAGAAAGCAACTTAAGGGAGAAACAGTTTACTTCAGCTCACAGTTCCAGTTACAGCCCATGACAGCAGGGACATCCAAGTGGCAGGCACTGAAAATGGCTAGTCATATCACATCCAGAGTCCAGAGCAGACTCCATCACTTGCTTATGCTAAGCTAGCTTTATTCACTTAACAAAAAGTTCTGGACCCAACCAATGAAATACTGTCACACACATTCAGGGTGGATCCTCTCATTTTATTTCACTCAATTAAGACAGTCTCCTACAGGTATGCCCAGAGTGCAACCCAATGTAGACAATTCCTCATTGAAGCTCTCTTCCCAGGTAATTTTCTAGGTTGTGTCAGGTTGACATTTAAAGCCATCACAGGCCCGTTGTGAAATTGTCGCAGCCTTGTCAAAGACCATAGCTTCTGACTCACTGTGTATGGGAGCTACAAAGCCTTTTTGTAGGTGTGGTGGACAGAGCTCAAGATTCCGAGTCTGATAGCCTGGGGTTAGTTTGCTTGTTTACTTATGTATGTTGTATGCAAGTGTGTACACATTTGTATGCAGGTGTGCTCCTCATCCGTGTATGTAGAGGCCAGAGGTTGAGATCAAGTGTCTTCCTCTGTTGCTCTCTCTGCCTTACTCTTTGAGGCATGGTCTGTCTCTGAACCTGTAGTGCACTGATTGGCTAGATCAGCTGGCCATCAAGCCCAAGGAGTCTCCTATCTCTCCCCCAGCTCTGGGGTTACAGACCTGAGTTCAGTTTTCACATGGAGCTAGGGATCCAAGCAGGTCTTCATGCACACAGCAACCACTTTACCCTTGAGCCCTCCCCCCAGCACCTCAGCTGGGGGTTTTACATGCTACATTAACACCTCTCCCTGAGCTTCAGTTTTCAAGTCTGATAAATAAATCTTATTGCTCATGTTGGCTCTGATATATTGATAGTGGCTGCCCAGAGTGCTCTGTTGAGGATTCCAAAGCTTTATCAAGGCTTAGTTGAAAAGGTGCTAAGATCACTTAATGATGTCTGCTATAGCCAGGGAGTTTTGAAGTGTGGGACCCATCTGTGACTTCCAGCTCTCCTTTTTTCTTCAAAGGCTATCATCTTCTTCCTGAATTCTCCATATCCATCTACTCTCCACAACCAGGAAACATTTGCAGAGTTCTTCTATCTGCAAGCCATTGCATCAGATGTTTATCTGTTCTTCCATGGGTCTAATTCTATGATTACAGGGTTCTTTAGCTCTAGAAATTATAGACTGGTGGGAACAAAGTGTAACAGAACCTGGGTAAACTGGAAAGCATATAAAAGTGTGTGTGTGTGTGTGTGTGTGTGTGTGTGTGTGTGTGTATCCTGGTATAATTTTTGAAAGTGAGGAAAATATAAAATCCAGTCAAAGACTTTATACCAAAACGGGCAAGGAATTTAAATAGACATTTCTTTTTTAAATTGTTTTATTTATGGGTGTTTTGTTCAGCATGTATGTAAATGTCCCACTTTTATACCTGGTGCCCTCAGAGACTAGAAGAGGGTGTTGGATCCCCTGCAACTGGAGTTACAGACAGTTGTGAGCCATCATGTGGGTGATGGGAATTGAACCTGTGTCCTCTAGAAGAAGAGCCAGCACTCTTCACTGCTGAGCCATCTCTTAGAATAGTGAATTCCTAAGAATCTCTAAGTGGCTAATAGATACAGAGCAATCTGCTCAGCATCATTATCAAAGAGGCAAATGCAAATGAAAACCACAATACAATAGTGCTTCACAACTACCCGAAGGACCAGGATAAAAAGGTTGGGGGAAGAAGCAGGGACAAAGATATGGGAATTAGGAAATCTTTCACTGCTGTCAGGGGCAGGCTGTGTATGTGAGTGATTCTGTCACTGTGGAAAGTCATCTGGCAGCTCTTCAAGTGTTGGATATACATGGACCAGGCTACTATGTGACTTAGTTTGTGCCACTGAGTATCTGCCCCAGAGGTATGAAAACATATTTGCAAAAAATTTGTATGTGAATATTCACAGTAGTCAAAAGATGGAAACAACTCGAACATTCAGCTACTGACAAATATAACCCAGCCATGAAAAGGAATGAGGTCCTGATACATGCCACAATGTGGATGAACCCCAAAGACATTATGCTAAGTGAAAGAAGCCAGGCACAAAAGGCATAAACTGTACAGATTAATTTTTGTAAAATGTCCAGAATACACACTCCCATGGACACAGAAAGTAGATTGTTGGTATTCTGGATCTGAGGGAGAGGGGGATGACAATGGCTGCTCGTTGGTGCAAGGTTTCTCTCCAGAGGAAATGCTGTGGTGGAAAGATACTGGCTGGGATTCTAGAGGCTCATTCTTGGTGCAGCCATGTGCTAATTAGCTGCTTGGCTCACGGACAAGCCACTTTTCTTCTTCAGCTCTCATCTCCTACCTATAAATAGATGAGTTCAGCTAAGATGCCATGATTGTCCTCTTCAATTGTAAAATGAAGCTGATCCAGATAAACAGTCTCAGGACCATAATGAGCTCCTAGGTAGGGTCAGGAGTGTTCAGACCTTCTGTGGATAGGTGCCTGGATGGCATAGGATATGAGTTCCAGGAGACACCTGCTGAGTGGTCCCAGAGTAAGAAAACCTAAGATGCCTGCGGACACTGAAAGGTTGATGGTGGGACTGGTCTAATCCAAAGCTAGATCTCACATGGAATGGGAAATGGAAAGAACATCTAGCTGAACTAAGAGGCATGGCTTCTTTTCTTTGTTTTTGTTTTTTCGAGACAGAGTTTCTCTGTGTAGCTTTGGAGCCTGTCCTGGAACTTGCTCTGTAGACCAGGCTGGCCTTGAACTCATGGAGATCTTCCTGCCTCTGCCTCCCAAGTGCTGGGATTAAATGCGTGCACCACCATCACCTGCTGGCATGGTTTCTTTAAAGAGACCCAGTGCCAAGACTCATCCCTCTGAAAGGGCAGGGGCAGTTGTCCATTGTGCCTCCTGTACTCCTCCCTTTTGGTTTGACCCAGGACAAAACCTGCTTTGCCAAAATTCTGGGTACTCTGCCCTACTCCTCCTGCCACTTAGTCCCAGACTTGCTCCTCTTTTTTCTTCTTCTCTTCTCCCTCCACTTTTCCCTTTTAAAAATGGCCCAAGACTTACCTTAGTTGGTCTGTTTGGGTGCTACAGATCCACCACCCACAAGCGAGGCAAGTTATGGCACTGACTTCATGGAGTTCACTTTCTTGTGGGAGGACCAGTCTCCAACAAATAAACAAAGAGCTTATGAAAACAGAACAGGGCAAGGGGAGAGGAGTAGAGATGCAAGAGATACATATCAGACAAAGCCACCACCAGTGACTGTGTGGCTATCACTTGGGTGACATCAAGGAACAGACCACACAGAGGTCCAGGATGTGACTATAAGAAGGACTCAACACAGAATCGAACTTGGTCTCTTGAAAATGGACAAAAGAGGTTGGGCGAGAGAAGGGGAGGACACAGAAAGATGGGGCTGGGATGGTGGCCTGGGGTGGTTGCTAATTGAAAGCATTTTGGGAAGCCCATGGAGGGTACTGAAGGTAGGGTATCTTATCTCTAACCCACCTGGTAGAGACCACCTGAAAGCTGCTGTGTAACAAATGACATCATTGCTGCCTGCACCTGTGCTACATAAGGTGTATTGCTGAGTTCAGGGTCCAATAGAGCTCCCATGACACAGAAGTATCCCATAGTTGGGAGGTGGGACTCACGGTCAGACAGTTCCCATGGAGATCATAGATCCTCCCTCCAGCTGCTTGGCTCTGATGTTTACCTCTTCTCCCTCCAGAGGCAGGCCAAATACTCGGAGAACAAGCTCAAGTGCACGAAGGCTCGCAATGACTACCTGCTGAATCTGGCAGCCACCAACGCAGCTATCAGCAAATACTACATCCACGATGTTTCTGATCTCATTGATGTGAGCAACCTGGGTTGCTGGGTGGGGCTACATGCAGGCTGAAACATCTCATGAGCTAGGGGAAGATGGGGTTGACCATGGTCCTCAGTTGGCATGTGAGCCGGCCAAGCTTTTGTGACCCTGTTAGAGCAGAAGGACTGTAAGTGTTTGTTGCTGTGGTATGAAATAATGCATGGTCATACTTTCCATGGATAGAGTAAGTTCTGGTTGACAACCCCCCACCCCATAGCTTCATTAGTTAGATAACCAATAGCCACTTCCAAAGTCATCTCGTGTGCACCAGGGCCTCTGATGGGTGTGAGGACACAGGGGAGAACTATATACAGTTCACACCCTTAGGGGCTGCTGGTGTGGAAGAGGAGAGGGAGCCATTCATTCAGAACCCCAGGGTCCCGCCAACCAGGTGTACACCATGGGAAAGTCACTGGAGAGAGAGAATGGCACAGAATCTTTTGCTGTGGGGGAATTCTCCTGGGAAGGATGAGTTTGATCACTGAAGAGCAGAACACTGACTCTGGGGAGCTGACTGTGCAGGGTTCCCTGGAGAACACCAGGCTTAAAGAAGGACACTGTGAGTGGCAGTAATGGGGGACAGTCACCTACATTATAGCTGGGACTGTTTCTCTTTCTCCCCTTCCATGATAAATGGGGGATCCATTCCTATAGGTGCTCCGTAGAGGTTTGGTATTGGTTGCTGGATTCTTTTCCTCTAACCCTGTATATCCTTTTCTGGAAGTCAGGGCGTGGGGGTGGGAGTGGGGGGCAGCCTACTCAGTCTTCAATGGCTTAAAGCCACCCCTCTTTCCTTGCTCTCAGCTCCCCTTTCACCTTTTAGCCTTTGTGTCTATTTGTTTGCCAAATGTTTACCGGGCACCTTACCATGGGCTAGGACTTGAGGCTCAGTGGTGGGCAAGAGCCAGCAGGCCCATGGAGCACACCTGCCTAGGGCACGTTAATAGACAATTATGGTGTCCAGTAGCAAGGGTCACAGTGAGGGAGGCATGTGGATCTCTGCCCAAAACTCGGTATGGAGAATATCAAGGGAAACTTCTAGAAGGAAACAGCCTGTAAACTAAATGGCAGATGGAAACCATCTAGGCAGAGAGAGTAGATGGAGAAAACCTGGAGATGAGACTGTGGTGGGGCCTGAGGAGCTGAAAAAAACTCTGTCGGTACCCACATTTCGGCTCTCAGCTCTCCGAGGGGTGTGATATGGCTTGTTCAGGCCTCCCTAGTGCTGTGAAAGGTGACCATAGGTCAGCACCCCAGCTCTCATTGGTACCTTTCTGTCCTTGCCTTTCCCCAAGTGCTGTGATTTGGGCTTTCATGCCAGTCTGGCCCGCACCTTTCGGACCTACCTCTCAGCAGAATATAACCTGGAAACCTCTCGACATGAGGGCCTGGACGTCATAGAGAATGCAGTGGACAACCTGGACTCCCGGAGTGACAAGCACACGGTCATGGACATGTGCAGCCAGGTCTTCTGCCCGCCACTCAAGTTTGAGTTCCAGCCCCACATGGGGGATGAGGTAGGCTTCCTGCCAGAACCCTGCTTGGGGGGCAGCTGTATGAGTCTAGTTTCCACTACCATATGAAAGTACCTAAGTCTGAATAACTCAGAATAGAGCAGTGGTTCTCATTCTGTGGGTTGCAACCCCTTTGGCAACCATCTATCTCCAAAAATATTTACATTACAATAGCAAAATTACAGTTATGAAGTAGCATCGAAAATAACTTTATGCCGGGCGTTGGTGGTGCACACCTTTAATCCCAGCACTCGGGAGGCAGAGGCAGGAGGATCTCTGTGAGTTCGAGGCCAGCCTGGTCTACAGAGGGAATTCCAGGACAGCCTCCTCCAAAACAATACAGAGAAACCCTGTCTCAAAAAACCAAACCAAACTAAAACAGAACAGAAACATTATTTAAAAAAAATAACTTGGGCTGGAGAGATGGCTCAGAAGTTAAGAGCACTGGCTGCTCTTCCAGAGGTCCTGAGTTCAATTCCCCATAACCACATGATAGCTCACAACTATCTAATGAGATCTGATGCCCTCTTCTGGCCTGCAGAGACACATGCAGACAGAACACTGCATACTAAATAAATAAATCTTAAAAAATAACTTTATGGTTAGGGGTCACCACAACATGAGGAGCTCTGTTAAGTTGCAGCATTAGGAGGGTTGAGCACCACTGGAATAGAGGCTCTTCAGCTCATAGGGAGGAAAGCTAGGAAGTCTAAAAGTAGGTGCCAGCATCTACTTGGCATCTCATGAGGGCCATACTGCTACATGGCATGGCTGCCACACAGCAAGGCAGAGCAAGCGTGTAGCTCAAGTCTGTCTTTTGTCTACTTCTGATGAGCCATAAATGCTATCATGGTGGCCTTACCCTCACCACCTCATCTCATCCTAATCACTGCCCAGCAGCCCCACCTCCAAATGCTGTTTGTACGTGATTTTGAGAATAAGCTTCCCATGCTTCAAATTTGGGAGTAGGGCGTATTAGCATCATAGCTACTGCTTCTGTTCTCTGCCATGCTCCTAGAGCATTGTGGGAGGAGGAAAAAAAAAACCTTGAGTACATATGCAGAGGCCTAGGATCAACTCTCAGATGATCTTGTCTTGTTGGCTAACGTCCCCACCTACAGAACTGTGGGACTTTGGCTTTCCTTAGACTCTCTCTTAGATGTCCTCAAAGATGCTCCAGTCTGCCTAGGAATAGTCTCCTATCTCCTTAGGTCTTAGGTGCCCTCTACAGCACTGTGAGCCTTTGAAACACCAGACAACTGACTTTCCTTCCATGCTTGTGCTGCCCAGACCCTTGCTGAGGTCTGGAAAACGAACAAGGAGTGTGCAGAAGGCTCTTGACACTATCTTCTGTTCCCCACGTAGAAGGTAGCTCCCTGTACTTTCCTGGATCATTTTCACTCTGGGAGTTGGGAGGCAGGTGGGTGCAGAACCACAGGAGAGTAAAACCAGTCAGCCTCGGAAGCTAAGGAGGAGCTCAGCTGGGTTACGTGTAGCATCTGCTTTTAGGGAGGGACGGGGAACAGCTTAGAAGATGACCACAGCTGCACCGTCTACATGGCTCTGCCCACTTCCTTCATTTGCACAAGAGAGGACTTGTACAAGGTGACACCACTCTTTCTGGGGTGTCCCGCTGTCCCAGGTCTGCCATTTGGCATGTCACCTATACCTGAAGATTCTGGGGCTAACTGTTTACTTGAAGCTTGGCTACCTAGTTAGCAGTTAGCAGTGAATAGCTAGCTCACTAAACAGCCTTATTATCCTTCATGATCTTAGCTGTGTTCCTAGAAGGGGTGAGAAACCACAGTATACCAAGTAGCCCTGCCCACAGGTGTTAACACCTTTTGAAAGGAAGACTCCAGAAGAATAGCACAGCTGCTCTTGGTATCTGTGGGAAACTGCTTCCAGGACTTGGGGGGGGGGGGGGGGGCTGGCAGCGGCGCTGTAGTGTATAAATCCAAAGGTACTGAGCACCTTATACAAAACGGCACAGTGGTTACAAAGAACCTATGCAATCCTCCTCCGTACTTGAAATCATCTCTGCATTACTTCACATACCTAACACTATGCAAATGTTTCCATAGTTGTACTCTACACTTTGAGGGATGATAAGAAGAAAATGCCTGCCTGCATTCAGTCTAGGGGTTTGGTTTTTTTTTTTTTAGTTTCTCCCTATATATGCTTTCTGTCCCTGGTTGACTGAATTTGTGGACAGGAAACTTGTGGACATAGAGGACCAACAGTGTAATCATCAAAGTTGTCTTTCTGATATATCTTTATGCATCCCTGTGGTGACAGGATCACTTGTCAACTGCTTCTGGTTCATTATACTTGCTACTGGCTGTTCAAGTAGTTGCTTTCATCCCACAACTTCCTGCCTTGCAATTAATTAGTTTGGTTTGCCAAGATTATGCTGAAGGTCTCTGTAAGCCCACAATTACTGTGCAAACATGGAAGATTGTGACTGGAAAGCCGCACTGGCCACAGCAAGAGGGTAGACTCTGGAGTAAGAGGACCCTAGTTTCCATCTGGTACTGCCTTTGCTGTATTCAACATGGGTGACCTGGGGTAGGTCACTCTGCCTTGCTGGACCTGTTCCCTGGGCTCCAGATGGAATATTAATGATAGGCTCCATGCAGCTGCAATGATCTGGTTTCTTTCTACAGGTGTGCCAGGTCAGTGCCCAGCAACCCGTCCAAACGGAGCTGCTTATGCGGTACCACCAGCTGCAGTCCAGGCTGGCCACTCTCAAGATCGAGAATGAAGAGGTGAGTGAGCTGCTGCTCTCGGTCTAGTCCCTAGTAAGCTGCTGGGGGTCTCGTGCCCTGGACTATATAGGAAACAATGGTTCATCGGTGAGAGACTATACAACTACACAACCTATCTGTGCTAAGAATCTTTAATGGCCTGAAGGATGCTTACAAGAGCTCAGATGAATGGGAAACAAGAGGAAGTGGGACTCTCTGTTTAGAGTGATTGCAGATTTGCAGGCATAGAGAAAGGCCTGCAGGAAAAATGTTTCAAAATGTGAACCTTGGCTGTGTCTCAGCTCTAAGAGTGATTGGTGGTTACTACTGACTTGGTGCTTTCCTGCCTCATTCTCTGCAGGAAGATGTTGTATCATCAGAGTAAGTATTCACAATCACTGGAAATAGATATCCCAGGCTGCCCTAATGTATTGTGGATTTTAAGCCCCAGGGAATGGGTCAATCTCACCAGCCCAGTGTTCCTCCCATATTGCCTAGTGGTACAGCATCACATTGGGTTGGGCCATTGTAACATGAACTGAAGAGGTCAGGTAGAGAGTGTACTACTAAGACCTAGATACCCCACCCAGAGGAGGAGTGTCAGCCAACCCTCCAGCCCTGGGGAAAGAACCTCAGGATCTGGGCAGTGCTACTCAAGACTGTGTGACAAACTTCTCCCCAAGAAGTACAGTCATGGTGGAAGGTGAGAAGGCATGGCCACTGTCTTCAAATCTCATTCAGGCTGTCCAGGACAATAGGGACAGTTGTGCCTGGTATCCCTGCAAAGGGCAGAGCCAGGACAGAGCTACGTTGACGTAAATCAAAGCAGATCTAAGGAAGGTCATAAGAAGACAAACTGACTGGTCTTTTAAACCTGGCAAGAGAGAGACAGGAAGGAGTGAGGCAGAATGCTGACTTACTTTCTGTTTATCTTCTGTCTTCCCCCAAAGGATTTTAAATGGTTCACATGTATAATGCCATTAATGGAATTTAAATGGAAATCAGAGCCACAGGGAGGAGAATGAGGCACACAGTCGTCTCTGTGGGCTGTGGATGGGCTTGGATAATTGTATCCTTGAATCAACTTCCACTAGTCTGTGTTGGAAAAAAGAATTGATTTTGAGTTATTCACTTATTTATTCAACAAGTATTTATTTGTAATATTTATTCACATAATACATGCTAAACATTATCCTAGATAGAGAATAAATCAAAGGAACACAGTGTCATAGTGTTTTTCCTCTTTCTGATGAGAAAACACCCGAAATTGAAACATGAAAACCAATAAGTGACTGCATATGCAAAAACACTAGACCATGAATGGCACGTGCTAGGGGGCCTGACACCATTATGACATGATATTTCAGCTGGAACAGTAAAAGAGACTTGGAGTGACAATGATAAGAACAAAGCCTCTGTCAGGAAGAGGACTTAGTGCAACAGAGGCTTTATGAGAATAAAGGTGTTTGTGCTAATTTTCCCTAGGTTAGGAAAACCCTAGATGCCACTATGCAGACCTTACAGGACATGCTGACCGTGGAGGACTTTGATGTCTCTGACGCCTTCCAACACAGCCGCTCTACAGAGTCTGTCAAGTCGGCTGCATCTGAGACCTACATGAGTAAAATCAACATAGCCAAAAGGAGAGCCAACCAGCAGGAAACAGAAATGTTTTATTTCACAGTAAGTGGCATCTGGGACCCAGAGCCCACTGTTGACCCCTGCCTGTGGCTTTGGAAGCAGTCTGAACAAATGAGAGGGTCAACAGAATTATATGACATGAATCTCCTAATGGTCTTTAACATAAGGTTGCTTGGCTTGGTTTTCTGAAGAGGAGAAAGTGACTCACTAGTGGGTGATTTCATGTTACTCTTGAGTGATGGTCACTAATGCTTTTGGAAAAAACCAAAGAAAGAGTTCTATTCAGTTGGGTTAGAGCAGTGGTTTACAGGGGTCTCCTAAAGTCATCCTGCATATCAGATACTTACATTATGATTCATAACAATAGCAAAATTACAGTTATGAAGTATCAATGGAAATATTTTACAGTTGGAGGTCACCACAACATGAGGAATTGTATTAAAGGGTCACAGAATTAGGAAGGTTAAAAACTGCTGGGTTAAAAGAACATGGACAACCTAGAGTTATGTGTATGCTATTGTCTTAAATTGGTGACTAAGCTTTGAAAATGAGGACCTCAACATTGCAAGTAAGCTATTCAGGAGTTGCTAGTCCATCCTGTAAAATCCCAGGTTACAGACCTCCATTTTGGCCAGGGGTCAGGAGGAAAGTGTGGAAGGGGAATTGAGGCTTTAGTTAAAATTGGGCTTGTTGAACATGGAGATTGGGGCTGTAAGGGACTTACCTTTCATCTGGTGTACATCCCACAAAAAACTCATAGGGACTCTGCTCAAATGCCCACTGTGAAAAGCTCTCTTCCACCCAGTAGTTCTCCTGCTGGAGTTGTGGCTGGAGCTTTTCTTTGTTATCTTTGGGAAATCTACCACCCTAGGATTCCTGGCCATTGGTCTTGATGCTGTTTTCTTTGGTGACCAGAGTGAAGCTGATGTTACCTGATGGTCCTTCCCTGCCTTTAGAATTCTGGGGTTTCCTTCCTCCGTGCTGAATGCCCTGATTCTTCTAGCCCTACCTTGTAAACTTTGGTTCCAAGCAGCCTCAGCACCCTAGTAACTCCCTCCTGAATACTTTCTCTTTGAATGTCTACAACAAAACTCCCTGAAGACATGCATTACCACACCTGGCCCTTGTTATTTTATTTTTTAGCTAAGGTGGTGTCCTTAGCTTAAAAATAATTCTTAGCTAATTCTCCTCTGTATACAGCCAGGTCTACCTCCTCTTAAAGGCCCCGTAGGTAAAAATGTAGGAAGGTCTCTCTGAGCTGTCCTCTTGATGGAGTCATGACACAGGTCCAGATTGTCAGCATCCTAACCTAATTGACCCCCATGCCCTTTTCAGATCTTATATGATATGCAGACTCAGGAAGCATGGCGTTCATCACCTTAAAGTTTGCTAGTAAGAAAATATGATAGCTATGCTGGGCTACTGCCAAGGCTGACAATCAGGTCACTACAGACACACAGCTAGGCTGATGTTGACTGGATTATACTCACAGAATGTGTCACAAGTCAACCCAGTTCTGGTATCCAATGCTATAATTGATAAGCTGTAATCAAAACCCTGCTACAATACAATAGTTGACATATACTTCAATATTCTTTGACCTTGTCAAGAAAGAAAATAAAGCTAGTCTTCATGACTCTTGGCATCTACTACTTCTGTTAGAGGCCTTACTGTGTTGACAAGGAGAAGTTATTGCCTTAAAGGGGCAGGGAGTGCAGATGGGGATAAATAGAAAGTCACTTCAGCAGTATAACAAAATCTGGGAAGCAGAAGCAGAGGAAGGGACACAGCCCGCTTATATTTAAAGAAATCTAGTGTCTTTGACCAAGGATAAGAAGATGTTATGTTTTTTCTTTTGTGTATGCATATATTTATATGCACATTGATATGTGTACATGCAAGTGTGTGTGTGTGTGTCTGCGTGTGTGCAATTGTCTGTCTTCCAGAGGCCAGAAAGCAACTTCAGGCATGACCGACCTTTTGTGTGCACACCTCACCTCTGGCTTTTATTAATTCTTAGACAGGTGATGAAGTCAGAGGATGGTGTTGTTAGAAGCCTCCTCTGCCAGCCGGTAAGCCAGTACTTACTGACTGAAGCCAAGGTGTGTGTTACCCAGAGCCAGGAACTCAGCTAAAATTCAAGCGCTTCATTTCCTATCTTCCTCAGCATGGCTCTGAAACTTGGAAGCTTAAGGCCCCTGTGATTCCTCCCCAAGTGAGAAATGAAGGGTTAGATTTGAGGTAACATGAAAAGGAAATTTGCGTGTTAACAGTCTTCCCAACCCGTGACGAGGCTGCTGGTCTTCTGCTCCACATTTGGAGAGATATCCAAAGTCTACTGTCAGCTTACCTCAAGGAGCTAATGAGGGGCTAGAAATGGGCGGAGCTCTACTCCAGGCTGCACAGCAATGAGCCTAACTCTGGGTTTCTGTTTCCTTAGAATACCTATGATCAAGCTTTTCCCATTAGCCCACCAAGATCATGGAGAGCTCCTCTCTCTCTCTCTCTCTCTCTCTCTCTCTCTCTCTCTCTCTCTCTCTCTCTCTCTCTCTCTCTCTCTCTCACACACACACACATACACACACACACACACACACTTGGGACAAAGTACTTTATGTACACCCCTCTTTATCTCATCCAACTAGGAAACCATGTCCCCCAGTGCAGCGATAAACCTATTGATGGAAGGTTTCTCAGTGGCCTGCAGAGCTCTTCCTCACTTGGAAGAAAGGCTCATCTTTAGCTCTGCTCTGGTAGCTCTTGGCCTTGCCTGCAGGGATCTGCATGGCTCTCTTCCTTATTGCTTTGGTCCCAGAAGCATAGTAAAGATTTGGTGACCAAAGGACCCTTTGTCTAGTGCTGCCCACATCCTCACTGCAGAAGCAGCCTCCACTACTGCCGCACTCTCCTGCCTCTGCGTGTCCAACCCAACCTGTATGGCCAGGGGATCCCCAAGAATTAGACAGCCACTTGGAATAGCTCAGAGCAGGTACAAAGTCCTGCCTGTCCCCATTATCAGGTCCTGGATAGCCTGACATCTATTTGATTTCCCTGCTAGGTGTGGGGGGGGGTGAAATTAGAGACTCTCTTATCACTTGGTTGTGTGCCCTTTAATTTCCTTATGCTTGTGTGTTTTACAGAAATTTAAAGAATATGTGAATGGCAGTAACCTCATCACCAAGTTACAAGCCAAGCATGACTTACTCAAGCAGACACTGGGTGAAGGTGAGTCAGGTGGGAGGGAATTCAAGGGGGACTGCTGTGTGGCCCAGAGCTGCTGAGCCACTTCCGGTCAAGACACCCAGCACTGGGCAGGGAAAGACCTGATGCTGGACCCTGGTGCCTTCACTAGGAAGGCCTGGAAAACCACTTTGGTACAGGGGCTGACGTCGGTCCTGCAAGAAGGGGCAAGGTCAAGTGGTGGATGGATCCCCATGTGTAGGAGGTGGGAATTCAAGGACACAGTGACCAGTGTTCTCAGCACACATCACCAAGGTTGTAGGTCCAGAGAAGAAAAATATATACATGGTAGGATTCAGTCTTTAAGAGACCAGAAAACTAGGCTTGAAGCCATCCAGAAGCTTCCAATGGCACTGGAGTAAAACCCCAGCTATGAAGAGCACACAGGCCCTCTGTCTCTTCTCTGGCCCTGTCCAATATCCTCCCCTCCCTTAGTGTGCTCCAGCCAGGCTAGGCATGCCTGGGCCTTTTAAAATTTTCGGTTTATTTCGGTTGTCTTTGAATCTCCATATGGAAACATCTCCTGGCTTGGGATATAAAACATTTCCATTAGCCTCAAGAAGTCCTCATGTCCCTTTTGTAGTCAGTCCTTCCATTCTCTGTCCCAAGCAAACCACTGATCTGATTCCTAAACACACACACACACACACACACACACACACACACACACACAGCCTCGTCCTCGCCTTCATGCCCACCCCTCCCCCTTTGCTTTCCTAGATTCTGACTATATAGACCATCATGACTTTAACTTTATAATCCTCCTACCTCAGGCCTGCAAAGTGCTAGGATTGCAGATATGGAGGAGTTTGCTGCAGGGAGCCTTCCCTGCATCTGTTAAGTTCTGCCCACCCTGACATCTCAGTATTGGGCCAGTATTGAGAGGGGTGGGTCCATTGTGATTTGGTGGCCACTGGTGTTTTGGAATTAGATTTCCCAGGTTTAGAACCTAAGTACTTTTTAAAATCCTGGTTGGATCCTTGGCCTGTGGGGTAGTGCGGCTTCTCTTCCCTGTCCCCTCTGAGTGCTAACCTGTTACTGACCTTGTCTGCATGGCCTTAGTTCGATCATAACGTTTTGGCAGACATGGCTCCTGGTCCATTTGTTCTTCTGGGTTTTATCAACTCTGAGATGTGAACTCTGAAGTCTGCCTTCTGAGTTTTGATCAGATGGCAAGAATACCTCTGGGAAAATGTTGCTTCTGAAGTGGAGGAGCAGCTAGAGGCACCTGGAAGCTGCAGCGGGTGTTTTCTAGTGTGTCAGACACAGAAAGCCCAGTGTGCTTCCATTGACAGTGGGGACAGTTCTAGGGAAGATACTCTTCTTCTAAGTGAATGTCTGGTTTAGAATGGGTTTTAATTTACAGGAAAGTTGAAAAATTGTAAAGTTCTCAGACAGTCCATCCTCAACTCCCCTTTATTAATATCTTATATCAGTATGTATGCCACAATTAGTGAATATAAATACATTATTTTGGTTTTTTGAGACAGGGTCTTATGTAGACCAGGCTAGCCTCAAATTTGAAATGTAGCCTTGAATTCAAGGATAAGCCTGAATTCTTGATTCTTCTGCTTCCTCAGTGCTGGGACTACAAGCCTGTGCCACTGTGCCTGTGTTTGGTACACTAATATAGACTAAAGTTAATAAGGCACTGAATTACCAAAAACAGAGAACCTGAGTAAGTTTACACCAAATCTCTGTTTATTTCACATATCTTTGACCTACCATAGGCATATTGTAGATTCTTAGGGCATCACATGAAACAACCAAGAGAATTTGAGCCAAACAGGGCAGCCAGAACTCAGAACATTATCAAACCCACTCTTCTAAGTTTTTCTTTTGTTTTTTGTTGAGACAGGATGTCACTATATAGCTCTGGATGGCCTGGAGCTTGCTGTGTAGATCAGGCTGGCCTTGAACTCACAGATCCACCTACCTCTGCCTCCCTAGTACTGGAATTAAAGGTGTGTGCCACCATGTCAGGCCTATCCTTCTAAATTTTAATGCTGGCCTCACCTTACCCCCACCTGGACAGTTTGATCTTCACTCAGTAGGTCACTGAATAAGTGCAGGCTTCGTGTGTGGTTGTGTCTCATCATTGGTCCTCTCCTGTCATCAGAGAGCCATTTCAAGTTGAGAGAAATGGCATGAAAACGTTAAAAACAAATGAGAAATACGGTCCCCAGGGAATATTCAAAAGGATTTAAGCTGGGTTTTTTGTTTGTTTGTTTGGCTGGTTGGTTGCAGTTTTGTTTTGTTTTAATGGTATCACATGCCTCTGTTTCTTCAAAGCAGTCCTTTGACAGTGTGACTCAAGGAGCCTGTCAGTTAAAAGCAGCACAGGTCACTTTCGTTTACAAGAGAACTTTTAAAAAAGCTGCTAGGTACCCAACAGATTGGCGTTGCCGTTCTTGGAGCACATACTCCCAGTCTGACACTGGCTGTGTGGTAGTCATTTCATTGCCTCGAGAATTCAGTTTGTTGTTGTCCCTGTGTCTTTTTCCTGTGACTTTCCTGTCATTCTGGGTGTGGGTGTTCTGGAAGTTCCAGTGTTACTACCTGAGGTGCTCACCCATTTCCATTTTACTGAAGATCTTCAAGTGTTTATTATCTGTAACAGAGATGGAACATAGCCTTGTCAGGCCCAAGTGTAATGCAGGGAAGTGGGCTGAGATGCAGGGAAGTAGACTGAGATGGAGGGAATGGACTGGGATGGAGGGAAGTGGGCTGGGATGGAGGGAAGTGGGCTGGGATGGAGGGAATGGACTGGGATGGAGGGAAGTGGACTGAGATGGAGGGAATGGGCTGGGATGGAGGGAATGGACTGGGATGGAGGGAATGGACTGGGATGGAGGGAAGTGGGCTGGGATGGAGGGAAGTGGGCTGGGATGGAGGGAAGTGGGCTGGGATGGAGGGAATGGACTGGGATGGAGGGAAGTGGACTGAGATGGAGGGAATGGACTGGGATGGAGGGAATGGACTGGGATGGAGGGAAGTGGGCTGGGATGGAGGGAAGTGGGCCATTGAAATTGAGAAGGACAGATAGCTCTGAAGAGCCATTTTCTGATTTTCAACTGAAGTGGCCAGGTGGTGGTCCACTTGCAGAAATGTTAAAGACTTGGACAGGATAGTTTGGGGGCATGGGAAAAGCATTTGGGGGAATATTTAAAGTATGAGATCTTTGAGGGGCAGTGTTGTATGACTCAAACCATATAGGGCTACCATGGCAGACCAAAGTCCAACTTGGTGAACCGTGAGTTTTACTGGGGTTACTAACAGGAATATGGGTGAGGGGTTACTTACAGAAGCAGAAATTACTCACAGACAGCTGCATCACCAACGCCCACCCCAGCTTGGGTAACAGGTCACTAAGCTGGGAACCTGGAGCATGTGTACAGCCTTAAGTCTGCTCAACAAGTTAGAGTGTCCTTTCCAGGTATCTCATTTGGTCTAAACCTCTTCCATGGATCTATGGTTGGTTTCTGCTTCTTCAAGGCAGTTGGTATGATCTCAATCAAGTCTTCTTTGTAGGTTGGCTTCCAATCTAAGAGGGATTCTCAGCTTTTATATTTACTCTGGTAGGGAAAGCCTAGGGAATCTGCTCAGTTTCAGGCACTTCCTGAAGCTACTTACAATTGTTTACCTTCCTGGTGAAGGAGCTTCTCTGAAGAATGGAATGCTTCAAGCTAAGAGAGCCTATTATACAACAGGTAGTTACTGACAAGTAGGTAAATAAAAATAAATGAACTACTGAATTGTGATCTCGGATGAACTGCAGAAAAATTATGATAAGATTCAGGAGAGAAACCACACAGAGAGTGATTCTCTTTTTAGGAAATGCCTATCAAACCTGCAGAGACAGGGAAGGAGGCAGGAATAGAGAATGACTTTGGATGAGCACATCAGGTCTTTCTGATAGTGTTGTTGTTTTAAGGGAAAGAACGTTCTCTGGGTAAGATAACAGCCAAAGCCAACTAAACATCAACATACAATTTTGTTTTCTTTCTCCAGGGGAGAGAGCAGAGTGCGGCACAACCAGGTGAGAGTTGGAGAATCTTGTGTCCCTGTACTGGCTGCCTGAAGTCTGAGAGGATGTGGTGGGTGGGCAGATGTGTAGGATGAAGATAGTCTCTTGGGAACTAGAGAAGCTGGATGGTTTTCACCACCTCTGGGGGCTTCAGAGTGATTGGGGAGGGCACAGTGGCTACTGAGGTGGCGTTGCTTGTTTTTGCTTTAGACTGGAGAAGCCACTCTCTGGCATTCTGGCCATAGGGAGGGAGCTTTCATAGCTGCTTCAGGACAGTGGGACACGGCCTGTTCAGTGGGAGGGTAGTTGATTCTAGGGTGGCCAACAGTGCTAGCAGACGCCACAGGCTATAGGATGGTTGTTTTCTTCTCTTGAATCTGTTATATGGTCACTGCCCAAACTGCCCTCTAGGTGATCCAGGTTCAGCCTGGATCCTCAGTTGCTAAGGCTTTTGGGGGTTGGCTGGTATTGTGCACAGATGGCCAGGTGCATGCCGCATACACGTGGACGTGTGCCCAGATTACCTGCTCCCCCCTGCATTGCCCATCATACTTTGGCTTGAAGTTCAGTGGGAACTTGGATGGACTGGAGAGGCCAGTCATATAGGCAACTCATGCTTCCTTCTAGCTCCTTCCGCATCTCCCTTTGTGCTTTCCCTGAGCACACCAGAGCCAGTGAACACTTTCACTCAGCAGCTTTCAGCCTTCCGTAGGCTTTAGATGCCTAAGCAGCCAGCACTGCCCTGGTGTCTGAGTTTTCACCATGAGTCTAGCAGTGACCCAGAGGTCTGCCCTCTGTCACATGTGGCTAGTTTTTAGTTGGGAGCTACTTTTTACCTCACTCAGTGGGGCTCAGTGACCCAGTGACATTCTTTCCTTCCAAATCAATTCTTTCCAATGGCTCAGAATCCTGAAAAGCTGTCCTACTTGGCAAGAGTGAAGATGACCCTTCAACTCTCTTGGGGAAGTGAGTAGGCGGGCAATGGCTTAGGAAGCTTTGGATTTTAATATGGTGGATCTGGAGATATAGGGCTTTCCAGGAATCCAGCTGTTATCTGAGCCCAGGCAGTTTGGGAACTTAGAGATGACTCACAGGCAAGGACTCTCCCACATGTAGAACAGCAGATGTGCAGGTCACTTTTGAAGAACACAAAGTTGTTACTGGTTTTTTTTTTTTTCTGGTAGGAGAATGTTACTATCGTCCTAAGAGGGCAAAAGCCCTGTTTGACACCAAAGTGAGATGAACTGGGCCATGGCTCGCTGCCCCCTCCTTTTTTTAATAAACACCTCTGAAATAGTGTCTTCCTCACCTGCTTTGGCCTAGGTTCTGGAAAATCCAAGTTCAGGTTGCTAGACCTCTCACTTAGGCATCCTGTCCTAAATTTCAGACCTAGAAAGATACTTTCTGGCTCATTATTGAACTTATGGACCTCATTGTCAGCCTGAAAGTGGTTTTAAAATGAGTCTCAGAGACCATGGGTGATGTCTCTGCATCTTGGCTGTGCCAACTGTAGATTCTCACACACAGTTGAGTCATCTGGGACCATCGTTAGAGCAGATTCCCTCAGCCAAGTTGCTCTTGCCCTTGTCCAAATGGCCCTTTTCTCACATTTAAGCATTGTACTTTTGAATGGCCTCAATTCACATAGAGCTGGGACGTAGGCTGATCAGATGTGCTCATGTATTTTGAAGAATTGTTAAAAATGGTAAAATGAGTGTAAGCAGTAGTTGTTAATTGTGATTTGAAGAGGGGTTGGCCTCCTTAACCAGGTTGACAAGAGGCTCTAGTCCTGATTAGAGGGGAACTAGTTGATTCCATGACCCATCAGATGCAGCTCAGGGCATATCCAACCCCAGCTTCCAAGAGCCCACCTGCCCTTGAATATTAGTGTGGCACCCACATCTGTTGGGATGTTTAGGGAAATTCTTAATCGCTTGCTTTTGGTCACAGACTGATTCCAAGGCCAGCGTATGCTAAAATTTTCATCCTAGCTGAAAGGCAGAAAGGGGACATTGGTCTCTGGCTTCCTTTCCCTCCCCTCTGTGGCCTTCTCTGTTCCTGTCTTCCCGGCTTCTCTCTTTCTTCCCTTTTTTTTTTTTTTTTTTTTGCTCTGCATCTGAGCGGCAGAAGAGATGGAAGGCTTAGGCTGCCCCACTTTCCTTGGCTGAGCTGTCCCCCTGCTCCCCACTTTGTGCCCCACCCAGCATTCCCGTAAGTTGATACAGATTTGATGTCGTTCAAAGTTGGGATAGCTATGTTTCCTTGTCAGAGACTCCAGGCAGTGCCCAGTGCACCATGGGGGGACATAAGGACTTTTCTTTTACACTCTGGATTTGGCAGGGAAAACGGGGAAGCGTACTCCACGCTTCCTCCCTTTTATTTTACTCTGCAAAAAATTAACAAACGAAACCCAGAAACCCTATGCGTTCTTTTATGAAAACTCCCCAACTGAGTGCCCTAGGGCTTTGGTTCTGTATCTTTAGTACCTGTGCCAAGATCCTCACTCTGGCCGGCCACAAGATCACTCCCTCACCTTTGTACTTATGCTGGAGCCTCTGGTAGGGGGAACTGCATTCACCAACTCCCAGCTCCTGATGGATCCTATTTGTGTGGCCTTGGACAAAATCTCTCATGGGCTCCTTTGCCTCCCAAGCTCATGAGGAGGTTAAACATGCGATGTAAGATTAAAAACAATGGCCATGGAGTCCAAAATACTACAAAAGCAAATGGCGACATTGCTATCCTCCTTGTCCTTAATCCCTAAATTTCATTCTATGGCTTTGTGTCACATTTTTTTACAATATTTTTTTTTTTGGCTTTTACATTTGAAAACTCAAAAGCAGATCCCCTGTATGAGATTCCCCCTCCCTGTTTTCACACATCCTCAAAAAAGATGTAGTATATTTTTAATGGAAATGACATGGACTTAGCTAACCAAATTCACACAGCTCCAAGATGGGCTGAAGATAATCTTGCTTGTTGTTTCTCTTCAAAGTTTTGGTCGTGCTGTTCTTTTGGTTTTTTTCTTGACTGGGTGGCATGCTATTTGGACTCAACTGTGTCTTTGCCCATGCATGTCCTGGAGTTTGCAGCCTTTGCTCAATACTTAACCATCCAGGAGGACTTGGCTAAAGTGTCCTGCATGGCTGGACTGTTAAAGGACCTGAGTACAATAAACCCGTGGGAGAGAGGCAGGGCAACCCTTGTTCATTTTGATTGCTTCCACAGCCCATAGGAATCTTGCCTGTGGGCTGGGGATGTGCCTTAGTTGACAGAATGCTTGCTTAGCATGCATGAGGCCCTGAGTTCAATTGTTAGCACCACATAAAACCCAGTGTGGAGGTGCATGCCTGGAATCCCAGCCCCGAGGCAGGAGGATCAGGAGTATGAGGTCAAACTCAGGTACATTACAAGTTAGAAGCCACCCTGGACTACATGAGACCCTGTCTCAGAAACAAACAAACAAGATTCTTGCCCATATACAGAAATAAATCAAGACTTGGGGAAGGGGCAAGTCTTTGCTTCTCCTTATAACCATTATCTGCCTGACTCAGTATGTACTGTTGCTCCCAAAGTTTGAATCAAACCATTTGAGAATGAACTGCTTTGTTTGGTAAGGGTGCTTCCTCCTAACTTTTCCCTAAAGGCCAGCAGCATTGAATCAGGCCAGTGTATGTAGTGAAATGAGCAAATAAGCCAACCCAGGCTTATGCATGGCGAGCAACTATGGACACGGGTCTAGTGTCTGTGGCCATTTCATTGTTCCTGGTGGTATAAGGTTTCCCCTCCCTGTGGATAACAGCAGAACACAGGGAATGGAGATCTGAAAGCAAAGCAAGATACTTTCAACTTGACCTCTGTGACAAGGACTGATGGGGCAAATGAGTCTCAGTTTAAAATGACAAGATGTCCCAGTACCATGCCTATGACTTGAAATTAAAAAATGAAACAAAAATACCCCCTCTAAAAAACAACAAAACCTGGACTTGAAGAGGAAGGGGGATAGAGGTGGGTCTGACTGGTAATCTCTCTGGGCTCTAGTTTCTGTAAAACAGAACCATATGTAATGGGAAGATACTGGGTTAAGTGTGATAATGGATTTGACAGTGCTCCAATCAAAAATGTACTTGTTTGATGAGTGGGATAATAGCATCCCAGACCACCTACAGATCCTAAAGAAGCTGCGGCTTGCCTCCTGGCATCCAGCTGTCTGGATCTCAGATCTATGCAATAAACATGAGTCATATGTCTTTGAAATGCCAAGAGGCATTAGGAAGACAGTGCCCCCAGTACATTGGGAGTTGGGTATTGATGAAAGGCTTAAGCCAAAATTATGAAAATTAACTCTCTTGGTTATGTTTGAAAGTCTCTTGCTTTCTTGGGCTACAGATGACACCTCCCTCTCCTGAGCCACACCCTCCATCTGGTCTGCAGGATGCCAACCTCAGATTGGCATTGCAGGGCCTTCTTGGATTCATCCCATCCCCCATAATGTAGAATGCATTTGTGTTTTGTGAGGGTTGCTCCTGCTTGGCATTGTGGGTAAACTAAGATCTAAAACATCCAGAGGCCTTCAGGTGGAACATGGGAAACCAGTGTGTTGGGGGCCACAGGATCCCCCCCTGTGTTTTGTATTTTCCTCCAGTTATGGGTTTGAAGAACATCTCTCCCAGTGGTATGTTTATGTTGGTTGCTTTCTTGATTTCTTTTGTTCCATTTTCCCCTAGGCCCCCCTGTCTTCCCCCTAAACCACAGAAAATGAGGAGACCTAGGCCTCTTTCAGTGTATAGCCATAAACTCTTTAACGGCAGTATGGAAGCATTCATTAAGGTACTTGCTGGGGAGCCGTGGAGTCCGCGAATGAGTCCAAAGTAATGGCAGCCTCTCTTCTCCCTGTCCCTTCCAGCTAACAGCCCCGTCAACTTCATAGTCAGGTCCCACAGAGCTAGCTTGTCACTGCAGTCTATTCTTGGCTTCAGTGAGTTATTCCATTGGAGAATTCTGCTTTTGACTAGTGGCCCCTAAGTGGCCACTCATCATTCTCAGCCATATGGGTCAGGATCTGATCACTCAAGCAGAAAAGTGGTGGGCCATCAGCACAGGGATCCCAGCCAGCTGACCTCGTTGATGCAGGAGCTGCCGTCCTAACTCCTGAAGGGCAGTTGAGGAAATCCTATTACTCAGCTTCACCCCCTCCTCCTGCAATAGGAGACTGAGAACAGCACAAAGATAGCCCTTGTGGGTTTCTATAAAGGCAACTACACTTTGTTAGCTAAGTGTCTACTAGCATGGGAAGCCACAGAGTTTTCATAAAAAAGAGTTCCTTCCACTTAATTTGACTTTTGGTGGTTGACTTGAAATGTGGGAGTAGAGTTGAAGTAGTCCTTCTAAATGTCAGGTTAACCCTTGACGTTGAGCTTAAGTTAAAAATTTAAGTGTTTTAGCTAAGTAAGCTAATTTTTCCTGTCCCCCACCTCCAGTGTGTATAAAATCAAGACATCCAGAATCAAACTGAACAAGGCAAAGATGGTGCTAGAATCAAGATGTGTTCTTGTGGAAAGAGAAGGGGAGGTCTTCAGCAGTTATTTGAAAGCCCACCACCAGCCAATGAGGACAATTCCTGCAGAAAAGAGGATTGGCATAGGTCATGGGAAGGATAGAGTCTTGTGGCATCAGTAATGGTTTTGGCTGTCCCATGGTCCAGCTCTCTATCTTCTGGCAGGCTCCTACCAGACCTGGAGTACAGGGAAGGGCTACAGACATGCAGATGACCAGCCTCGGGGATAGGTCAGGTAGGCAGGACCATCCTAGGTCAAAGGACACCTCTATAGACTGAATCCTCAGAACAAAACAAAAGAGCTAGAGATAGAGAAAGAGCAATTTCCCCCAAGCAAGGACAGTGGGGGATGCCTTAGGATGCTTCATAGGACTGAAGGCCCCAAGTCAGAGGTCCCTCAGGAACTGTGTGACTCGTTGAGAGCCACTCAGTAGGTCATGGCAGGCAGGGGCTATGTCAAAGAGTGCCTCGTTTCTTCATCACCCCTCTGTCTTCTCCTGTACTTCCTTCTCACTCACCCTTGTCCCAGCTGAGCTGCAAAGGAGCTGGCTGATCATGTTCCATCTTTACAGAGCCTAGCATGGGGCCAAGAGTGCAGGGGGCGGGGCACATGGGAAGTCCTACAGGAGCATGCTGTTGCAATTCAGAGCAAGAAGAGCTGTGAGCTGGGGCCCAGGTGGCCTTGCCAGGGACTTGGAAGGATGGGGAGGGATGAGGGAGGAGCAGGACAAGAGTCCCCGAAGGAGTGAAAGATGCAATGAGATCTGAGATGGGGACCCCCTGAGTCTCTCTGATCTTGGGAAACGGGAGATCAGTTAGCATACATGGAAGAAACTGGCCCTCATTTGACACTATTTGAAAGTGGGAACTGAGTATCTTCCTCGTGTGACTATAAAGCAACTTGACTGTACACCTGACAAACACTTTAGACCTTGTTCAACTCCATGAGTGTTTGTTTGCCTCTTCAGGTGCTTACTTTGGGAAGCCTTCTTACTATTCTGCTACATCACCAAGCCCCCAATGGTATTTTGGCTAATCTTCGTTAGAACCTGTTGCATAGCCTTTATCATTGGTGCCAGAACTTCTTGTTAGAATGGATACTTTGGTCCACCAGAATTAAAACCTCCACAGGGCTGAGGTAATGACATGATAATTACAAAGCATGTCATGCAAGCATGAGGACATTAGTTCTGTATGACACAGACTTATTCTAAAGGATTCCAGAGTCCAGAGAATGAAAGACAGCATCTGTAGTTACTCCTTCAGCTGCCAAGAGTAGAACTGAAGTCTATGCCAATTCTCACATGTCTGAATCTACAACAGAGTCCCCAGCTTTGAAAATCCAGGCCTAGGAAAGGATTTTTGGTCAAACAATCCCACTATGTTGCTGTGATTATGATGCCTCAGCAGGACAAAGAGAGAAGCTCCAAGTTTATTATAAAGAAGTATTTGTGGATTGAGACTTAGGAACCTCCCTGACTCTTCTTATAAAGAAACCAAAAACTTGGTGTTTTTCTCCTCTCAAACTTAAGGAGACTCCATTTATATTATTATAAAATGAGAGCAATCTTCTGCCCTGTGAGTTTAGGAGAGCATAGAGTGAGCTACTCCATGTATGTATCTAGAACACTCCTGGCATTGTTTAAGCCTGTTAATAATTTTAGGACGCCATCTCAAGAGTTCCTTGGACCAGGCTATTGCTGAGCTCAAGAATCCATGTGGGCTTAACTGACATCATAGCAACTCAGATCCCAATCGTTGAGATGGCAGATTGGGCATTTTGTGCCCCAGGGAGGCACATTTCTCTTAGTCATCTTGGCTTCTTCACTGAACTTGGGTGAGAATGAGACTCAGTTACCACTTAGACTCTTGAGTCACTGCCCACGTGATCAGAAAAATCAGGCAGGCTCTCTCAACATGGGGACAAAATTTCAGTGCACCCTCAAGGTCACAAAGTTGTTCCAACTTACTCTTTCCCTCATCATCATCTTTCCCAGCTTCTATGTTCCTAGAGGGTCTCAGTGCCAGGGTGACAGTAAGAGGTTGGGAAGGGAGCAGAGCCACGCTTCCACACAGAGAAGATTATCAAGGTGTTGGGTATGTTTAGAGTCTGGAATCTGTTACTACCTGCTGGGATCCTGTCTAAGGAGATCTTGTGAAGTAGAGCATCTGTCCAAGAATGAGGATTCCAGAGATTAATTCTAGGAGCAGCTTATAATATTCATGAAGGATCCCTTCTGTGAGCAGATGGGCTAACCTTGTAGATCTTCAGTGTACTCTTGCTCACTGGTGAATCCCTGATGTTTAAGAGCAACTAGACACAGATCCAGGAATGCTGTTGATACACATTTCCTACATATTAACAAGGAATGAAAGAGGCCCTTCCATCACTGATATCTGGGAAAGAGGCTAGGCAGCCTATTGGAAGGCTGGCTGGGGACTGCTCCAGAAGTCCTAGGAGGCCCCAAGGCTGAGGCCCCTCCCCATGGGCAGGCTATTGGGCAAATGCCCCAGGACCATTGCTGGCTGCCATTGCGTTTTGGCATTCACGGACTCTGAAGGATCTGCACACTCTAACTGATCTTACTCCTGCATAATCTTTTCTTTTTCTCCTGCTTTGCTGCCTGTTTCTTTTTTTGTTATCAGAGGAAGAAGAAATGCTCGAACCAGGAACCAGGTATTTACTAGCTAGGCCCACAAGCCCCATGCAACTAGTAGATCCAATGCCTTCTCGAGCAGGGTCCTTGTTCCCTGTTGCTTGGTGGGCCTGTTTCCTATCCTCTCCATCAGCAGGTGGGGGGTGTGGCAAACCCAAGAGCCCACCAAGTTACTAGCCTTCTGGGGAGGCTAGTGGTTTAATATGGCCTTAAAAAGAAAGGTTTGTTTTGTCTTGTAAATGGTACTCATGACATGACCTGAAGTAACAACAGGTCACCCAGTTTCAGAATCCTGAAAGAAAATTGACCCTTGCCCAACCACTAGGAACTGTAGACTAATCTAGAAAAGTATGATTGAATGTCCTTTCCCATCCCAGGTACAACTATTTAAATTACATTCTATTCGGCCCTTTTAATTGAGACTAGTCACCAGATGGCCAATGTCTGATATTAGCATTTTTTAGAAGTCCCCATGTACCATGCTTATTGTTAAGCAAAATATTTACCGGAGTATTTAAATTGAGACATTATGAATAAGATTCATTCCCTTCTTAGAACCTCACAGGGCTTGTAAGGGCCAGACCTTCTTCGCCCACAATGTGTTCTGACATGAGATACCTCAGTAATAGGGAGAGGCATTGATCCCATCTCTTCATCCCCAAGTCCTGGGGAAAGATGCTGAGTTTGGGCAAAGTGGGGTTGGGAGAAGGCAGGTCATCCTTGAAGGTCAGACTCCAGCCACCTCCACACACTGGCTTCCACCTCTCCTGCCCCCAGTGTGCCTATCAAGCTCAGCCCAGTTCCTTGCCAGCTGGGTAAGAAGAGAGAGCATTTCTTTGAATTCATCCTAGCTATGCCTTCTTCTGCACTTAACCGAAGGCTGTTAACTATTCCTGGAGTCTAGAGTTAGCAGTTCCTTGCTTGTTTTCCTACTAATCACGTGGTACTAATCTCCTGGCTTGACTGGGTTATCATGTTTGCGATGTCTTTTGCCTATGGTTGGATGCCAAACCTGATAAAACTCACATTGTTTTCTTTCTTAAGGATTCAGGACAAGCTATACCACTTGTAGTGGAGAGCTGTATCCGCTTCATCAATTTATATGGTAAGCGCCATCTCAGCTCAAAGTGTTCAGTTCACTGTGGAATAGGTGCTGGACTTTTCTGGGAGAAAGTGATATTCTCAGTCATCTTGAAAGACTTCCTGTCCTTGCTCTGCTCCAGCTCTGGCTGTTACTCAGAGCTAAGACATGGAGTCTGCATGTCTGTGCCCAGGGTGAAAGAAAGAAGGTTGTTTGGGGGACCCAGAACTTCAGTTCATGGGGGAGCAGCTATAGCATGGACAGAAGGACTACTCCAGCTCTGTCTTCACTCAGAGTCACTCGGGTTGATAGGCTGTAAGCTCCACAAAGGGAATGGGGTCATGTTTAACTACTCAGTCACCTCAAACTGTAACAGGCTCACTTTTGGCTGTGAAGAATTCAGGAGCAATAGAGGCAATCACCATATTACTCCTGCAGGGCTACATTCTCAGAAGAACAAGGAAGTCAACAGCAGGAGAAGAATTGTAGACGCCCGTTAGCTTCTCTAGGGATTAGATCTAGGATCACTGCAGACCTCCAGATCAGCAGACTCCAAGATTCATTGTGTAAATGCTGTGGTTTTTACACATCACCCATGTAATCTTCCCATAGACAGTAATCCACTAGAGAGACAGATAGGATGAAATCCTATGTAAATGCTATGGAAATAATCATATTGTTTGGGGAATAGTAAAACAGTAATCTACACGTGTAGTACAGATGTAACTGTTAGTTGAGTCACTAAATATAGTAGCTCATGAATATAGTAGACTGTAATATAATTTCTCATAGTGACACCGCCATGAAACTAATTAAAAGGAGGGTAGATAGTGACTTTGGGGCCAGGCTTTGACTAAAGAGTGGGAAGAGCCCCAAGGAAAGCGGCCATGCAACTGGGGTGGGGAGGATGGGGAGTGGTAGGTGGAAGGAAGGGCAGTATGGTGGTTGGGGATAATGGCCCAGAAGAGTGAGAGAAGACTGTGGGTAGTAGAAATGCTAAGCAAGCTACACTCATGGTTGTATATGCCTGTCATCTCAGCATTGGGTCACCAAGAATTGGAGGCTGACCTAGGCTACCTAGTAAGTTGGAGGTCAGCTTGGGCACATCACGTCACAAATATCCAGGTGCATACCTTATTTAACAGTGAACATGACACATGAAGATGTTTTAGAAGCTGTTGTGTCAGCCCCTGGCCATCTAGTGGAAAAGGCTGGACAAAAAACAACCAAAGCACATAGCATGTCCATGCTAAATGTCCACCAAACCCTTACTTTTAAGGGAAACAAGAAACTGTAGCATGAAGAATTGTTCTACCCAAAACTACTGAGACAGGAAAAGGTACCCAGTGTCTATAATAATTTTCATTTGAAAGAGGCAGATCCTTTGATTTCTGCAATTGTGTTAGGTCCTCAGAGCTACAAGGTGTCAAGGGTTCCACTTTGCTATTGTCTCATGGAAACTAATTTTTTTGTTTTGTTTTTCTTTGGGGGGGATAGTGTGGCTCTATTGAGTCCCCACTCTTTCATCTGTAGCCCCGGCTGACCTTGAACTCTGCAAAATCCTCCTGCCTCAATTTCAGCCTTGAAAATACTGGGATTATAATATGAGCAATTCTGCCCAGCCAACCAGCTTATTGTATTTAATCATTTTTGGTGCTGGGGACCTAACCCAGGGCCTAGTGTCCACAAGACAAAGCACTTTGCCACTGAGATATGCCTCGAACTTTCTGACTTCCCCAATCAGGCCAGGATGTACTTGGAAGTTTAGATTTTCTTAAGGCAAGAAGTTACCCAAGTGGGAGAGGGAAGGAAAAGTTGATAGCATCTTCCTTTAGACCCAGGAGTAAGTTCACAGACATGAGACTCTGCATGTGTCTGAGTATTTGGTCCAGCTGTAGTCCATTGTCAAGGCCCATTTGGGGTTTCAGCTAGGAGCTTGTCACCAGGAATGCTTACTATAAAAGATGGAAGGAGAAAGAGGTAAGCATGGGAGAGAATCACCAAACATCCAATAGCCAGGTGAACTCTAGGCTCGTGTTATTTACACTTGCTGTTTGCTTGTTTGTTATTTCTTTTGTAGGACTCCAGCAGCAGGGGATATTCAGAGTTCCAGGGTCTCAGGTTGAAGTCAATGACATCAAGAATTCCTTTGAGAGAGGTGAGTGTGGACTGGCCATCTCAAGCTTGTGGGAAGGAAAAGCCAGGGGTAGCATAGGCCTCAGAGCCAGTAGTTCACAGGGGCTCTTGGCCCAGTGGCTTTCAAGAGCTGTATGCTCATACTCTTCTTAACTTTGTATTCTATAACACTGTGATGGTCCCTGGAAATCAGCCATATTGGGAGTGTTTACATCACAGAAATTGGCAAACCCCAAGATATTTTTTTAAAGTTTTCTTCTAAGCATCCAGTTCTTCCCCCTTTCCCTTTTATTGCGTGCTGAGCATTCCTAATCCCATGTTCTACATCCAAACATTTGAGTGTTGAAGTAACACACTACTGGAAAGCTCCATACTTCAAGAGACAGATGCAGCTACACAAATGATACCTTGTCAGATTACCATCAGGCTGTGTGTGCAATTCAGGTGAATTTTTATGTAGATATTTGAACTTACCCCAAGACACCAAAATTCTAAAATTCCAAAGCTTCTGGCCCTACCCATTTTAGTGTTTGATATGTTTTATTGCTTTATTTTATTTTTGGGAATAGTGTCTAGACTACCCTTAAACTCTTGCTGATACTCCTGTCTCTACTTTCCAACTGCTGAGATTACAGGTGTGAGTTATCATGCCTGACTTTCCATGAACTGTGTGTGGTTACATGATTGTGTGAGTGTACGTGTATATATAGGTATACATATGCACTTGTGAATGTGTGTGTGTCTGTGGTGTTTGAATGTGCAACGCATACTGTTTGTGGAGGTCAAAGGTGTCCTCCCACAGGTGCTGCCGCTGTGTTTTTTGAGTCAAGGTATCTCTCACTGGCCCAGAGCTCAACCAGTTTTTGGTTTGTTTGTTTGGTTGATTTTGTTGTTTGTTTTTTTGTATTTTTGTTTGTACTTTTTTTACTTTATTTTTTACACAGATGGATTTAGGGGATCAAACTCAAGTCCTTATTATATATGGCAAGAACTTTATCAACTAAGTTGTGTCTCCAGCCTGTCTTTCATTGTGTTTTGAGACAGTCTCAGGTAGATTATCATGAGCCTGGGCTTCCCATACCCTGTTATCTTAGTTAGGGTTTTTATTGCTATGATAAAGTACTATAACCAAAAGCAACTTGAGGAGGAAAGGGTTTATTTTGGCTTACTGCTCTCAGGTCACACTCCATCACTGGGAGAAGTCAGGGCAGGAACCTGGAGATGGAAATCCTGCTGAGTCCTCCTGGCTCAGCCTGATTTCTTATTCAACCCAGGACCACCTACCAGGGGTCACATCGCCCACAATCGGCTGGGCCTTTCCACATTAGTCACTAATTAAGGTTTAGGTTCCTCTCCCCATGTAACTCTCTGCTTCCTTTCACCTTCCCCTGGAAAATTCCCAGTTGTTACCAGTTTAGCAGCCCCAGTTCCACTGCAGAGAGCCACTCCTCTGAATGCCCTATTTCCCCATCCGACTAACAAAATTCAAAAGACTGCCATGGGCAGAGCTGGAGAAGACAGCTTCCTCAAGAGGATGTCACTAGCAGGAGTACAAAGATGCGACCCCCAATGAGAGAGGGCTTTGAATATAGGTGAGAAACTGTGCCCATTTTCAGGAACATAAGGGAGACCTGCCCTCACAGATACAAATGCACACATGCAGGGCATTCACCATGGCTGTGTTTATCACAGCAAAAGACTGAAAGAAGTCAAATGTGGGGCTGGTGACATGGCTCAATAGAGAAAGGCACTTGTTTCTAAGTTTGACTGCTGGGTCCCTTATGGAAGAGAGAATCGACTTCTGCAAGGTGTCCTCTGACCTCAGGGTGTGTGCCCTGTTATAGACATACAGATAACTAAATAAACAATTATACTTTAAAAGTTAAGTTCAGTGTAGACCTGTAAGAGGCCAAGTGAATGAAGTGTGGTCTCCCTGTGTGACATGGTTCTTCACCACCATGAGAAAGAGAGAAGACTTCTGGGAAGTAATGTGGAGAGATTTCCAGGATTTGTTGTTGAAGCTAAGGAACAAGGTTATGTAGGAGTGAATGCCATTCTGTGTAAGAAGTAAGGGTCAGTAAAGAACACAGACAGCTGTTCCCATCTTTAGAGTGCTGGCTCAAGAAGCACCCTAGAAGACAATACAGCAGTGCTCAAGTGCATTTCAGAAATGTGGCATTCTTATTGCCCCCCCCACAGCGGGCACGTCCACCCATCCTCTGCAGATGACTCACGATGCTCAACACAATGGAAACATCATATAAGTGGTGGTTAAATTGTTTAGGGAAGAGAGACCCAAAAAAAAAGCTTGCATGAGTTCAGTGCAGGCAATCTCTTTAGTGTGGCGATTGCCTAAACTGACTGGCCTATGAGTTGTACGGATTCTCCTATCTGCCTCTCCTCAGTGCTGGGTCACACACACTACCACATCTGTCTTTTTATATGGATGCTACAGATCAAAGTCAGGAGCTCATGCTGTGCAGCAAGCCACCCAGTGATCCATCTCCCTAGCCCCCAGAGGCAATCTTTTCTTTAAAATATTTTCATTAGCTTTTGTTGAACCCATGGATGTGCAACTTGTGAGTAGGGATGACTGTACATGTGTCTGCTGTAGAAGGAGACACAGCAGACAAGTCAGACTAAAGAAAATGGTGATGCGTAAGATGGGAAGGAAAGGGTAAAAATGAGCCTTCTCTCTGAGAAACTTTAAATCTGGTTTTGGGGGCCCGAGTTCAGATGCCCAGCATCCATGCAGAAGCCAGGAGCAGTAGCAGGTTTCTGAATCCCCAGTGTTGGGGAACCCAGACAAGTGGCTATCTGGAGCTCACAGGCCAGCCAGGCTAACTGAAGCAGTGAGCTCCTAGGGTAACAAGACAAGAGCTATCACTGGAGACTGACTCCATGGGGGTGTGTCATGCTGACCACAGCGACTCATAGGCAGGCTTAAAGTGCCAGGACTTCTAATCTCACTTCACAGGTTTCCTGTTTGTTACAAAACGGAAATACCTCTGGGAAGTAGTGGTGCATGCCTTTAATTCCAGCACTCAGGAGGCAGAGGCAGGTGGATCTTTGTGAGTTCGAGACCAGCCTGGTCTACAGAACTAGTTCCAGGTCAGCTAGGGCTACACAGAGAAACCCTGTCTCAAAACAAAACAAAACATAAAAGGAAATACTTTTGTGATGTTTAAAGAAGAAAAAAAGGTTACCACCTTAACCCAGTGTTCTGTGTCACCAGTAGCAGGGTACATGTGGCATATGTATCTCTGTATTCTTGTCCAAAGCAGTCACCCTGAATTGAGTCATGAGGAAAATGAGAGAAAGCCAGAATATGAGGCAGTTCTGTCTTCTACAAGACGGAAAGGACTACATCATCAAATACAAACTTAGCACTCAAAAAAAAATTGAAGTTTATTTTATACTTATAAAACCAAAGCAGCAGCCATCAAGCCAGGCATCCCAGCACATGCCTGAAACCTCAGCATTTGGGAGCCAAAGCAGGATTGTCCCAAGTTCCAGCCATCCAGGGATACACGGAGACCATGTCTCAAATAAACAAACAAACAAACAAACAAATGGAACAACTGCCAACTACCAAATGAATTGTGGGAACTCAAAATAGTGCTTATTATGTTGAGAACAAAATTCCATGGCAGACGTAGTGGGTGGACTTTGAATGTGGGCTGTGTGCAATGTTATTTTTGGAGGGATTGTCTCTTTCTTGGGTTAGATAAAGTTATCATTGTTATCTGAGAATTGATTCTTGAGAAGAATGTGTTATGATGTCAAAAGTTCTCAAATCTTTGAGCCACGGTGTATATAATAAAGAGAAGACTTAGGAGAGGGGCGAGTAAAGGGCGTTGGACATTCATGATTGGATGCTTACCCCTTTTCGGAGGATTTGAACATTTTCTAATAGGAAATTTAAAACATGCGGAGACTGAGGGTCATAGGTTCTCGGGCTCATCCCATCCTCTTTTTCTCCCATCCAGGCTGGCCAGGTCGTTTCCTATTCCATCTGAGAACAAATTATCTTCTAATATCTGAGATAGATTCTCTTTCCTCACCGGCCTAAAACTTTATCTCCACACAGGTGAAGACCCCCTTGTGGACGACCAAAATGAGCGAGATATCAATTCAGTCGCTGGTGTTTTAAAACTGTATTTCCGAGGACTGGAAAACCCACTCTTTCCTAAGGAAAGGTTTCAAGATTTGATATCTACTATTAGTAAGTATTTTCCAGATGGAAAGCCCATTGCTCCACAGGTCTTTGTAGGTAGTGACGGGCTGGCTCTTTATCCTGTCTGGCACAGGAGAGGGAAACTGTGAGAGAAAGGGTCCTCAGAGAGCTTAAAGACCCAGCTGATAGATGGCATAACAGACTAATAGACATGGTGCACTCCCTAGGTGCGACAGAGCTAAGGGGAGAAGCATAGGGAACCTGGGGTCAGAATAGACCTGGAGGAGGGATGTGAGCAGGCCTGCCAAGAGAGGGGGACACAGGGAAGCCTGGAAGGGTTGGGGACAGTGGACCACTTGGTGTAAGAGGTTGGTGCAGTCCGATGTAGCGAGAGAAGTAGATCTGAATGTCTTTGAAGGACCCCACAACTTTGTCTGTTGGGTGGTAGGGATGCATGGAAGGTTTGGGGATCAGGTCAGCAGACAAGAGAAATGGTGATAGTTAACTGACTGAGAGATTATCTTTACACTGCTAGCCATGAGAGTACTTGACCAACAGAGGGGACACTGGCAGTCAGGGTGTGTTCCAGGGGTAGGACAGAAGAAAGGGCATGCTTACCATCAGCTTCCTCAGTGTTTCCTTCCTGCTCATCTTTTAAGATCTATGCCAAACTCTAAGACACTCTCTAAATCCCAGACCACAAAGGCTCCATCCTGTCTGGGCCCCATGTCACTGGCTTAGCCAGCATCATTAGAACAAATCCCCATAATTCAGGTCCTGTACAGGGCAATGAGTGGATAAGGAGGACAATCCCAGCATGGGCTGTGACAGTGTCTGGCCAGAGTCACCTGGTGAGAGGGCCTCCTGTGTTCTGTCCAGGGTTATGGGTATATTACAGAGAAACCTAAACACATAAACCTCCCTCCAAACACAATGGCCAGGGCCATCTTCAGAAGCCTTTGTAAACAGAGTCTGCCTGTTTGTTAGTGGCGCCCCCTTGTGTTTATTGAACAATAGCCCCCTCTGTGCTTTTGATTTCCAGAGTTGCTTTTACCCCCCAGTTGGCTGCAGTGTGGGGGTTTTGAACAGGAAACCCTAGAAATAATGCCTAAGTTTTAAGTGACCTTTATCTGGTGTACTGCTATAACTGTTACCTTTCATTATTAATTGTTAGTATCTACCCATGTCTATTTCATGAGGTAACATTTATCAAACGTATATATGCTAAAGGGATATAATGCAGACAGGGTCTGACATTGTCCTTGCCTTCAGCATATCTTAAAACATATCCCAACTGTTACATATTTGTATGTTACCTCCTAATTGCAACAAGAGTTTCTCCTTTTTTCTCATAACTGAGTAATATAAGTTCTTTTTTAAAAAATAATCTTTAAGGGCTGGAGAGATGACTCAGAAGTTAAGAGCACTGGTTGTTCTTTCAGAGTCCTTTTATTTACTTATTTGGTTTTTTGAGACAGAGTTTCTCTGTGGCTTTGGAGGCTGTCCAGGCTGGTCTTGAACTCACAGAGATCCATCTGCCTCTGCCTCTCGAGTGCTGGGATTAAAGGCATTCCCACCACCGCCTGGCCTTCCAGAAGTCCTGAGTTCAATTCCCAGTAACAACGTGGTGGCTCACAACCATCTATAATGAGATCTAGTGCCCTCTTCTGGCCTGCAGGCATGCATGTAGGCAGAACACTGTATGCATAATAAATACATCATTTTAAAAAATGTCATTAAGAACTACAATGTAGTTAGTAGTCATAGAGGGGTACCTGGCGTAGGTGATTGACAGGAGGGCCCAGAGGATTTGTAGAGGGACAGTGGAATTTGTTTATGCATAAAAACTTGACTGTGGTCTGACTTGGGTGAGGCTTCCTCTAGCCAGGTCTTGAAGGTGAGTTAGAGGGATGGATTGAAATTTAAGGCAGGCAACATCTATTTGTGTGCCCTCCACAGTCAGGGCATGTGGGTTCTGATTCCAGAATGAACTTCCATTTGCTGTGCACCCCCACACAATGCCTTGTCAGGAAGCAAGAACCCCAGCTTTGGCATAGCACTTCATGGAGAAGCTTGGCTCTAGACAATCTGCAGACTCTGGGGAAGCAAGCAAGAGTGTCTGTAGCTCCGTCATATTGACTGCTGGGAGAACGAGGGCTTTAGGAAGCTGGGGTTCTGTGAGGAAAACATCACTGACAACATGTGGCATGTCAGCCCTGTACACAGCACCGGGACCTCACTTCTTATAGTTCTAGGTTGCCAAGTCCATAGGTACTGCTGTGTCTTTCCAGGCCATAATACCAGCATTTGACTCTCTAGGGTTCATCTGAGAACAGATCCCAGATGAGATCCTGGGCATGTGCCAAGCCATCTAGTCAGTAGGTCACTCAAGAGGAGCCAATGTTTGCACTTTTATTTTCTGAGTGACTGCCGTGGGCCAGGCCTGTGCTGTGGCTGGTGCCTGTCATTTTACTAAACCACCATCCTTGCCTGTGTCATCAGAACTCCAAGGTTGACAGTGACAGAAACTTAAACTATCTGAGTCCATACAACAAATTATGTCAATTCCTCTACTGGAAAACTTTAGACCTATCCATTTTGGACTTCACATGTCCACTCTGGGATTTGTGTCACTCCTTTGATCCCCAGACAGGATGCTCTTTCCTAGAAGTAAGTCCCTGGCTGCTCCAGATTTTCTGCTAGTCAAGTTCCAGGCAGGTTTCTCCACAGTCCTCCAGACCAGCTTCAAGAGGTTCTGAACATGCTAACCCCCAACCAACCTGTCTTATTCTGATTGGCTCTTGCCAGGCTCTCACTCAAATCTCAACTGGGAGTACAGCCATGTTGACTGGTCCCTGTAGCTGAAGGGAGAGGTGGGGCCTGGAGATGTCTGCTGCCTTGCTCTCAGGGTAACAGACACCCTGAACCCCCTGTGCCTTACAGAACTGGAGAACCCAGCTGACAGGGTGCACCCAATCCAGCAGATCCTCATCACCCTGCCCCGCGTGGTCATCGTGGTCATGAGATACCTCTTTGCTTTCCTCAATCAGTGAGTACCTGGGCTGGGAAGCCCTCTGTGACTGGCGTCCTCTGGGAGGGGAGTCCCAAGGCTCTTATGAATGCTACTGTCATAAATTGGACTATAGAACCTTCCTGCATTTGAGTCGAGTCCATCCTTCCCCCCAAAAAGAAAGAAACCATTGTGGGGGAGGATTTGCCTTTTGGGTGAATGGTGGATACCTGCTCTCTCCTAGCCTTTCCCAGTACAGTGATGAGAACATGATGGATCCCTACAACTTGGCCATCTGCTTCGGGCCCACCCTCATGCACATCCCTGATGGGCAGGACCCTGTATCCTGCCAGGCGCATGTCAATGAAGTCATCAAAACCATCATCATCCACCATGAAGCCATCTTCCCCAGCCCGCGGGAGCTAGAGGGACCTGTGTACGAAAAATGCATGGCTGGAGGGGAAGAGTACTGGTAAGGCACCCTTCCTCTTGATGTTACTGTTAGCACCATCCTAACATGGTTAAGAGCAGTCAGAAGCCTTCCAGTTTTCTCATTACAGTAGGGTCCCTGCATCATACATAGTTTGACAGCAGTCCCATCTGAGTGACACATACATCAGCCAAGATTGTGTAAGTTATAAGGAATAAAACTCACCTCCAGATAGCCTACTCCAAATGTGCATTTGCAGTTTACTTAACTGAAATATTGAAGGCTGTGTCTCCAGGTGTGGCTGGGTCCAGCGGCTCAGCTGTTGTCAGCAGGGCCCGGCCCTGCGGTCTCCACCCTGGCTTTGCTTACTTCTGCGCTGGCTTCGGCCTCAGGCAGCCTTTCTCTTGGTGGCTGTTAGAAGGCAGCCAGCAAGCAGCTCCGGCTTCATCACCTGTTTGCTGCAGCCCAACCAAAACAGAGCTTCTCTTTCCAGATGTTCCAATAGGATGTTTCCAGGCGTTGTTTCAGGGCTCCATTTGAGCCTGAGGAGCTCTCATAATGTCGTGGCTGGCCAGATGTGAGGCCTATCTCAGGAAGCAGAGGAGAGGGTATCCCCACATGAACCTCAACAGCTGAAAGTGACACCCCTGTCACCAACCTCTCTCACCCAGGAGTTCTCTCTTCCAGAGCTTCATATCTTTGAATGTCCCACCTCAGGTCAATGAGCATTAGTTGGGTAGCTCTCTCAGCTGTTATGACTCCTGTATTAGGAGAACTAGTTAAGAATTTTTAGGAACCAGGCCTGGCTACCTTCCCCCAAGCTAAGCCTGGAAGAGTGAAGATGGATGTGTGTTTAAATTGTAATGAAAGAGTGACTGTAGGCAGTGCCATCATACTAGATGTTTCCAGAAACTAGAATGAAGGAAAGTTTTCACATGGAAAAAGTGTTAGAGAAACTCGGGATGTATAGTTCAGTGGTTAGCCATATACTTACTGCATGGGATCCTTATCACAAAAACAAAATAAAAAAGATCAGTACTGGGGCTGGAGTGACGGCTCAGCAGTTAAGAGTATGCATTGCTTTTACAGAGGATCCTGGCTCAGTTCCCAGCACGTGCCAGGCAGCTCACAGCTGTCTGTAACTCCAGCTCCAGGTGATCTGATGCCCTCTTCTGCCCTCCACAGGCACCTGCACTCATACATACACATATCCCCTCATGCCACCCCCCACATACAACTAACTTTTAAAATAAGATAAATATTTTTAAAGTAAGCATTTAAGGAAATGGACATGTTCACTCCAATTTAAACATCACACGATGTGTGCATATATTGAATGATCACGTGGTACCCCACAAATGTGTAATTTGTATGCCTTTTCTACCAATTACATTTTTAGTAATGGGGGGTGCAGAGAAGAGAAAATTAAGCACACTGCTTGAGACTAGTTAAATGTTCTAGCTGTCATATTGTCCCCACTCCAGGTCAACACAGAAATACACTTAAGTCCTTCTGCCAGAAGCCTGCAGGGAACTTAGGCATTTCAGCCTGGTGTTTTGAAACAGAGTTTCACCATTTAGCCCAGTCTGATCCTACCTCAGTAAGTGCTGGAATCATAGACTTGATCTACCATGCCCAGTGGGAATTTGGCTTTTGGTTATAGTATGCCTTGATGCTTCAATTGCCTCTGTTCTCTAGGTTTACTGGGCAACTGCTTCAAAGAGGCTCCTCTGTCTCTGCAAATTCTTCTCCAAATAGACATGAAGGGCCACAAGGGTGTCTGGTCACAGTGGCATCTGGTCACAGTTCCCTGTCCTAACACCGTACAGGGCCCTTACTTAGCTAGAAAGCACAATTTCAGCACAAAGAGAAGATAAACACCCAAATTACAAATTTACAATATACCCTCAACTCTTAATACTTTTCTTCATATCCCATGAGACTGGAAAATTAGCAATTACATGGCCATTTTGAAGGTATTTTCAAAACTAAAAAGGGAGATGAAGCTGAGGGTCTCAGTACAGTGGACAAAATCCACTCATTCAACAGTCCAATCCCCACCTCCACCACGCAGTCCTCTGGGGACTGGGTCTCCAGGTCTCCAGGTGGCAGGGGTGGTGCCAGAGCAAGATTAGCTTCAGTGAGGAGGGGGGAGTGTTAAGAGGACTGAAGCAAACTGTTTCAGAAGGGGCCCCTGAGCCAACCACAAGCCACCGGAAAAGGCTTCCCAAGGAGGTAAAGAAAGATTCAAACCAGCAGCTTAAACTGGGGCCAGTTCACAGAGGTCTGGGCCAAGAACGTTAGAAAAGAGTGAAAAGAGGCTCAGCTTGTTGAGGTGGGGTGTGTGACAGGAGGGCGCTGAGGTACCAGGCTACACAGGTCGGCTGGAGGTGGGTTCTGGCAGCCTTGATTTGGATCTAATCCTGGTGGCAACGGGGAATTTTCCAATGTAGTCTCTATTTCTAGTTTGTTCTTTTTAAAACAGTCTCGTGGAGCCCAGACTGGCCCCAAACTCATTATATAGCCAAAGCTCACTTGAGCCTCTCATCCTCCTGCATTTACCCACTGAGAGCTGGAATTACAGACATGCACTGCCAGGCCAGGTTTGTGTGGTGCCAGGGAGAGAAGGCAGGCCTTTGTACACTCTAGACACTGCCAGCTGAGCTGCCTAGAGCTCTCTATTTTTTTAATGACATCATAAATGTCACCTCCTCTTAAAAACTATCCAGATCACTCCATGTTGGTCCTGTCTGCTACTCTTATCTCAGCCTGTTTCTCTCTTATAAATCATTGTTTCATCTTGCAACTGTTTTATGCACTGGCCTCATTACCTGGGCTGTTTTCTCTCCCTAGAATGTGAGCAGTGAGGTCAGGGACCTGGTCTACTTGATTTGTCATTGAATCCTCCCTACTTAATACAGTGGTGTATATTAGAACCTAGTATTGTGATGAAACACACACACACACACACACACACACACACACACACACACACACACACACACACACACACACACACCCCTGGCCTCCAGATGCTTGCAGTTTCCCTCTGCCATCTGAATCTCATTGAACTCATATCATTTCAGCTCATATCTGCTACTGTACTTGAGACTGTGTCATCTATAATGAACTGACATCTCTGTAGCTCAAGGTTCTGAAAACTAAGAGGTATACCACATGAGGTATACCCATGGTGGAAGGCAGAGGGAAAGAACGTGTGAGAACAAGCAAGATAGCCCCAAAGGGTGGGGCTAGCACAGTAAGTCTGCTCTCAAATAACTAACCTTGATCAACACTGATCCGTTTCTGACAACACAGCCCTTGTGGCCTAGTTACCTGTGCTTAGATTGAACCTCCCAACACCATGGTGTTGGGGGGTGATGTTTCTAATACACGTGGGCCACATACTCAAGCCTTTGACAATCTAGTCAATTCCAGAGCTAGGGGTCACTAAGGGAGTATTCAGGAAAGTCCCCAACAAGTCCTCTTCCTATGTTTGATTGCAGTGACAGCCCACACAGTGAGCCAGGGACCATTGATGAAGTTGATCATGACAATGGCACAGAGCCTCACACCAGTGATGAAGGTGAGTAGGGGGAGCATCTAGGCTAAAAACAAACAAACAAAAAACAAAACAAAAAAACCTCACAGGGGCTCTCATGCTTACTCAAGCCAGCCACAGGGCCAGTCCCCATAGCCACACAGCTCTCCAAGTAGCACAGCTGCCCTTCAGCATGAGAGGGACCCAGAAAAGCCTTAATACATGCCTTGTATCAAGGTCCCAGCATAGAGAAGGTCCTGGTGTGTGCTGTGTGTTTACTGCATACCACTCCTTGCCCATGGCATCCTCTGTGTGTCCTGCTTGGATCAGTGCAAATCCTCAGAGACAAGTGTCTAATAGGAAAGCATTCCCATCCCTCCACTGCTCCTGGCCCCAGCTCAAGGATCTACTCTACACCAGGTCTTTGCTGGGACCTGGGGCCTGGGACCTGGGACCTGGTGATGAATGAGGTAGGTCCTCAGGGAGTTCCTGATTGATCTCGCAGCAGACCTCAACAGATTGGAAGCAGCTCCTTAGGAACCAACTGACAATGTGAGATTAAAGGGACATTTCTGGTGTAGGGGCACCTGAGAATTGCTCCAATAATTAGGAGCATGGAGAGAAACAGAAGTGTGTGTGTGTGTGTGTGTGTGTGTGTGTGTGTGTGTGTGTGTGTGTGTGTCTGTGTGTGTCTGTGTGTGTCTGTGTGTGTGTCTGTGTGTGTGTGTGTCTGTGTCTTTAGAGGAAGGGACCATCTAGCTGATTCCTCTACTCTTGCCAGATGAGGAACAGTGAGTCATGCTGGTTTCCATGGAAATCAGACCACACAGATGACAATCTGAGTAAAATGGGCTCAGGCCTCCTTACCTACTAAGTCATAGTAGGCAGAGACTAGGTAAAAAATCTCACAGGGGGCTCTCATGCCTATTGGAGTCAGCCACAGGGCCAGTTCCCACAGACCCACAGCTCTCCAACCAGCACAGCTGCCCTTCAATACCTGAGGACCCAGGGTGCTGAGGGACAACACTAAACTTCTGTCTCCTGGAAACGCAGCAATAAATATTCTACCTTTATGCCTGTTGCCCATTTTAAATTTGTCTTTTTAGTATTGAGTTGTAACGGCTGTTTACATATTCTAAATATAAGTTTCTTATCTCAGACATGATTTTCCAGTGTTTTCTTCTATTATGAGACTTGCTTATTGCTTTCCAAATGTTGTCCTTTGATGCACAAAAGGTTTTAATTTTGATTGAGTCCAATTTATCCAGTTTTATTTTTGTTGTTTTGACTATATTCATGAAGGCCCTTGCCTTGCCTTCTTTCTTTCGAGGTGTCTTAGTTACTTTAAATTACTGTGATAAGACATCATGGTCAAGGCAACTTAATAAAAGAAAAAGTTTATTTTGGGGTTTACAGTGTCAGAAAGTTAGACTCCAAAGCCAACCCCTAGTGATACACCTTCTCCAACAAGGCCACTCATCATATTTCTTCCCAAACAGTTCCACTAACTAGGGACCAAATATTCAAACATACAAACTTATGGAGGCCGTTCTCATTTCAAACCACCACACAGAGAAAGCAGCCAGCATTTTACTAAAAGATACAATATTAGCTGTCAAGGTTTTTGTTTTCTTTTTTTCCATAAGTGTCTGTGAGAGTGTGTTTCCATGCATATTTGTGCATGTGTACTCATGCCTGGCACACACATAAGACTATTTCTTTAAGGTAAAATTCTGAACCTGGACTTACATATTTTCTGCTGACCTAGAAGCCAAGTAAGCCTCAGGGACCTCTGTCTCCACCTATCTCAGAGTTGAGTTCTCAAGAGTGTGCCTGATGCCTGACTTGTCCCATGGATACTGGGATCTGAACTCAAGTCCTCACGAGAGTACAGCAAGTGCTCTTAAAGGCTAAGCCATCTCTCCCACCCAGCAGTGAGGTGGAGTGTTTTGTTTGGAAAAGATGTTAATGTTTGCCAAATGCTTTTCATCATCTGTTGAGATGGTTGGGTCCTTTTTTTCTTTTTATTTTTCTGATAAGATTTGTTGAATTTTTAGATAGTAAACAAGTTTTACATTCCTGGGATAAATTCTTCTCAGGTATGGACAACAATTTCTTTTACATACCCCTACATCCAGTTTGCTAATATTTTGTAGAGAAAAAAATTCATCTATATTCATAAAAGATGTCAGTCTGCAGTTTTCTGGTGATATATTCCAGGTTTTGTGTTAGATAATACTTGCCTCATGAAATGTGTTGCTAAATGTTTCCTCCTCTTGTGCTTTTTTTGGAAGACTCGGTGAGTAATTATTACTGTGTTTGTTGGAATTCAACAGGGAAAACTTATGGGACTGGGCTTTTTTTTTTCTGAGTAGTGCTTTGGTGGTCGGCTCACATTCTTGGAGACTCATTTAGGTTTCCTATTTCTTTTTACAGAATGTCCTATTTTGTAGTGTATACATGTGCATGATGACTGGCAGGTATATGCATGATGTGGCATGCACATAGAAGTCAGAGGACAGCTTTCTCCTTCATCTTGTTGTGATAGGGCTTCTCTTGTTTCTGCCACTGCATGCTGCAGGATATTTGGCCTGTGTGCTTCTGGGTGATTCTCTTGTCTCTTCTTCCCATCTCACCACAAGGGTGCTGGATTATAGATGTGGACCACTGTATCCAGCTTTTTATTTTTCTATATGGCTTAATAAGAGAACTGAGGTCATTAGACTTGCACAACAAGCACTTTTACCCACAAGCCATCTTACTGGCCCCAGATGTTCTACTTTTTGCTTTTTAGATTTGTGTATTGTGGGAGGGGTGCTTATACTGTGATTTGTACATCTGAGGTTGGAGGAAAACATGCAGGAGTTGGTTCCTTCCTTCTACCATCCAGGACTCAGGGATCGAACACATTGTTGGGCTTGGTGGCAAGTACCATGTCCTGCTGAGCCACCCCATTGGCCCCAGATATTCTATTTCTCAAATCTGTTTCAGTAGTCTACATTTTAAAGCAATGTGCCTGTTTCATCCAACTTATCTAATTTGTTGGCATGTAATTGTTGGTAATATTTCTTTATGATACCTCTTTTCCTTCAAAGTAATCATATTAATGTATCCCTTTCATTCCTGATTTTACATCTTATTAATGTGATTATTATCTTATTAGTTTATTTAGCTAAACATTTGTTAATTTCATTGATCTTTTTCAAAGAAGCAGCTTGGACCTCGTCTGTTTCCCTAGTCTTTATCTCATTTAATTCTACCTAATCTGTATTACTCCCCACTCTCTACTTGCTGTAGCTTTAGCTTGCACTTCTAATGTCTTTAACTTTTTATGATTTACATTTGTTTTAGTTTATGTGTATGAGGTGCATGTATGCTTGTGTGCATGCAGTGTGCTTGGAGGTCAGAAGAGAGCATTAGAGCCTTTGGAATCGGAGCTGACTTGTAGGTGCTGGGAATCAAACCCAGGTCCTCTGGAAGAGAAGCCTCCTCTTAACCACTGAGCCATCTCTCCAGCCCTGCTCTTCCTTTTTTTTTTAAGGTGAGGGTGGCAGTTACTGATTTAGGATTTTTCTTAGCACAATCATTTGCAACTCTAAATTTCTACCTAAGCTGTAGCTGCAGCCATGAGTTTTGGCTGGGCTGTGTCCTTATTTCCATTCACCATTTGGAAGCTGAAGATCCCCTGAAAGTGTTGTGAGTGAACAGAAATGGAAATCTAGTCCTGCAGGCATTATGTGATACTTACGTGTAACTGGACAAGAAAGAAAAGGGCTCATGGGAAAGTGGGTGTAGAATGTATGCTGAGGTGTAGAAGGAAAGAAATTTCTTCAAATGCACACATACACATTTGATACATGGTTATGTAGCTCAGGCTAGCCTCAAACTCCTGTTATCCTGCCTCCACCTCCCAAGTACTTGGATTATAGGTATGTATTGCCACACCTAGCCAAACTGGCTTCAATAATCATGCAATGGAAAATGAGGGTCTGGCATGCCAGCTCCCTGTGGACATTTTATACTTCATGGTTTATTTAATTTTTAAGAGATTGCTATTGTTTTATAGCCTAATTACCAATTCATAGTTGTCCTGCCCTACGGTTCAGAATGCTGAGATTCCATGTCTACACTACTGAGCCTGGTACTCACTGGACATTCTGAGAAGTTACATGGATTGCCTAAGATCAAGCAGTGGGGAGGAGTCTGAAATTAAAGTGCTGGGGTCCCAATCACCATTCCACATGTGCTCATCAAACCTGCTGCCCATCATCCTCACTGAAGCCCAGGCTATCTAAGTCTTGGACCACGTCTCTGACCTCATAGATGCTCCTTCTCCTGATTTTCTTTCAGAAGTGGAGCAGATCGAGGCCATCGCCAAGTTTGACTATGTGGGGCGGTCCCCTCGTGAGCTGTCCTTCAAAAAAGGGGCCTCATTGCTCCTGTACCACCGTGCCTCAGAGGACTGGTGGGAGGGCCGTCACAATGGTGTGGATGGACTCATCCCTCATCAGTACATAGTTGTACAGGACATGTGAGTGAGAACTGGGGCCTTCTGTGAAGAATGAGGTAATAGATTAGTGATGTCTGCAATGGGCAGTAGAAGGGGAATACTGGGCTGTATGCTGGCAATTTGTTCTCCTGGGATCAGTATCAAATCTTGATGATCTCTAAGAATGGGCTCTTTTTTCTAACTTTACGTGGAAATATCCACAGAAGAAATATGCACATTGCTCATCCTTCAGACCATTCAGAGATAGTATTAAGTCCAGGGCCACCATCAAGACCCATGAGTCACAATCAGGGCACTCACCATCCACCATGGTCACTAGCATCCCATAGATTTTTATATCCCTCCACTATCCTGAGCTTTCCCTGTAGCCAGTGACCAGCTCACCACCCCTTAATGCCTGTAACCCTCCACTGCAGATGTGACCTTCTCAGAGGATGGAGAAACACAACTTCCTGGTTTCATTTAACCAGGTGTCATTTTTAATGATTTAAGAAGCTAAAACTGCCACACCTCCCAATAGCTGGCCCTTTCAGAATGTTCAAGAAGTCAGCACTTGGTGTGAGGTTTTTTCCTGGGCTCTCATTCCCTTCCAGCTTGGATTGACTCAGCAGAGCTGACTTGTCCTAGAAGCAGCCATAGCACTGAGCTCCACAGGAAGGGAACCCTGAGCCTATGTTACGATGCAGGAGAGAAAGTTGGAGCTTGAGCAAAGACCAAGGCCAAGCATATGAGAAAGGGGATGCTGTAATAGAGGGCCACCTCACAAGTATCCCGCTCTCCAGATAGGGATGGAACGGATGGGGGTAGCTCTTCCCTGCTTGCTCGGCTCTGAACCACTTCTCATGGAACCATAGGAAACTCAGCATACAGCACCCTGTGCTAGGAGACTTAGCACTCAGCACCCTGTGCTCAGCTTGCAGACTCCAACCCCCGTTTCTCCACCCTGTCTCCATTACTGAGAGGGTCTAGGAGAGAGAACAGCTAGAAAAGGGGAAAGAAGCAGTGGAACAGGGATGGATACAAGGGAACCACCCACAAGAAAGCCTGGCTATTGGAGCACTGTGGTAGGCATTTGTGGGGAGAAGGTGTTCAGACTGGGCTGCTGGTACAGGTGGCCATAGGTGTGTGCAGACAGCTTTGGAGGAGCTCTGGGCACCCGGGGCCTTCCTCCAGAGGACAGGGACTATCTCCAATTCATGTCTCTCTTCTCTCCAGGGACGATGCCTTCTCCGACAGCCTGAGCCAAAAGGCTGACAGTGAGGCCAGCAGTGGGCCACTGCTCGATGACAAGGCCTCCTCCAAGAATGACCTCCAGTCCCCCACAGAGCACATCTCTGATTACGGCTTTGGGGGGGTGATGGGCCGGTAGGAAATGTGGGTTCATTTTTGTCCTGCTAGTGCCCCCTTTGTTAGTTTGTGTGTGTATGAACTGGGAAAAGTAAGAGGGCAGGAGGGGACGAGGAGATTCGTACAGCACCTTGATTCTGCAAGCCCTGAGCACCCTGAGTACGTCTTGGTGGGCTGGCCAGAGTGACCCAAGGACTCCAGTGTGAACAGACTCAGCTTTGAGTAGGGCTCTATTAGAGAAGAGGAAGACATATGCTGGCATCGCAGAACTTTTTATTTTAAATAATCATAGGCCAGACTGGGCTACATAGTGAGACTGTCTTAAAATTTTAATGTAATAATAGAGACACAAACACGCGAGAGAAAACTTGGCAAGTACTTTTCTTTCTCTCCCCAGCTCCTGCACCTCCTCCCAGCTTTCTGTTGTTACACAACAGTTTTTAGATGTAAAGCTCCCACAGCCCCCCATGCCTGGAACACACCACTTAAACAGAGAGTTCACACCTTCTTCTGTGAAAGCTGATACCCGACTCCACCCGCCTGTTTGTGGGGAGCAGATATACCAGTTTCTTCACAGAGACTGGCTGTGTCACGTGACCCATATGCCAGCAAGGAGCTGTGCAAGTCATCCTGGGAACAGGAACACAGAAAAAGCTAACAGTCTCGCTCTGCTTCACCCCCAACTCCTTGTCCTCTTAGAATGTCAAAGTCTGTCCCCTCCCCCCTCCATTGTAGCCTGAAGGGTCGTGTGATCAACCCAATCTTTTCAGAAAGAGCAAGAGATGCCCATGGCAGCATACAATGGGAGCATACTTAAGAATGTATGTTACTTGAGGTCCTGAGGCCTCTATTTAGTGACTTCTACTTAATTCAGCTTTGGACACAGCAAGATGATAGAATCCAGGGGAGGGGAAGTCAAAGGCTAGGTCCATGGATGAGAATGGCATGGTCCCCAGCTCCTAGGAGGACCATACCATCTCCTGCCTCTCTCCTCCCCCTCCCCGTTTTCCCTCTCTCAACCTTTTCTTTTCTTTCTCAAAGCCTCTTTCCTCCCCAACACCTATGCTTTGATCCTGTTGGGACATCCACAGGCTTGCTTAGCTTTGCAAGGGTTTGAATCGCCACCAATCCCATGGAACTTGGTCCATTCCCAGCCACCATCCCTCCCTACCCTCATCCGCATCCAGCCTTTCCTCCCCTCATGAAGGCCTCTGTACCTTGGGTGACCTCCATATGACACAGCAGTCTTGAAGTTGTTCTCAAAACCTTTCAAATTTGGGCAGATGAGGGATAGGCCATCATTGTAGCGGATTCACAGAATGGATTTGGGAGAATACAGGAAAGCTTGTGGCAGACGTGAGTCAAAGACTTGTCCTACTAATAAGCAGCTCAGGCGCTTTTGTACCAGTAAAGCCCTGGAGGTGGAGGAGGTACCACAGACACAGGGTGAAGAGGTGTTCACTCTTCAATGAGTTGTTTTCCAAGATCTGGGAACGCCGTATAGAAGCCTGCTCTTGGGAGGTTGGTGGGTGACAATGGTGAGCAGGTGTTTCATTCCCAGGGGTCCCCTCCTGTGCTTACTGTGGCCTTTTGGTAAAATCAAGCCTTAGTGTTTCAAACCAGCTGGAGTCTGAATGGCTTCAGACTATATATGACCACAGCTAGCCACAGCATTTCCAGTTTGGAATCTTCCTGCCAGGACCTGACTTAGAATTTGGTTTGCAGTGCAGCCAGCCTGGCTCCCACTCTTAAGCTTTCCTCCCTGGGCCAAGTTACTTTGCCTCTTTAATGTCACGGGTCTGAGCTGGCCCTTTCATTACCAAAGTGTACAGTCTGACTGAATGAGGCTTCACTGTGCTAGCTAGCTCCTCTAGATTAGCAAGCAGTTATGACATGGGGGTTGGCTGGCCCATTCTGAGACTGGCTAGGGTTGACTTCTGCCCCATGCTCCCTGCCCCTGGCTCCTTTGCAGAGTGCGACTACGGTCTGACGGAGCGGCCATCCCCAGGCGCCGAAGCGGGGGCGACACACACAGCCCACCCCGGGGCTTGGGTCCCAGCATAGACACACCACCCCGTGCTGCTGCCTGTCCCAGCAGTCCCCACAAAATCCCCCTCAGCCGGGGACGGATTGAGAGCCCTGAGAAGAGGAGGATGGCGACATTCGGGAGCGCTGGCAGCATCAACTATCCTGACAAGAAGGCGCTGGCAGAAGGGCTCTCCATGAGGTCAACTTGCGGCTCCACCCGGCACAGCAGCCTAGGGGACCACAAGTCCCTGGAGGCTGAGGCCCTGGCAGAAGTAAGGGCCCCACGAAGCCAGTCAGGCCAGTGAGACACCCAGTGGGACAGGGGTGGGAACTACTGAGTGGGCAACCACAGTGGCCTTGGTGGAACTTGAGACTGAGCCAGACAACAAGACAGTGAATTGACTTCCTTTCTATGCCACTAGCTAGAGCTCCTATAAAGACTTGAAGACCCCACAGGGTTCCGGCTGGAGAGGGGGTAGCTGTGATTAAGGGAATGAGGCAATGGCAGTCCTCTCCACACAAGATGCTATGATTGAGTCCATGTATCCACCAATGCATGCCTCCATCCATCTTTCATTCATTACTTATTCATTTATTGATGAGTCTTGCCTAGGCATCTGTTATGTGACACTCACCATGCACAGTGTCGTACAGTGGAGACTGGATGTCCTTTGGCCATGCTACAAGAGTTTATAGTTAAGGAGAACTGCCAACCCGAAATGGCAGCTGGGATGGGTGTCTTTGATAAGCAAGGAGTTAATATCACATTTTGAGAGTCTATCGTTTGGAAATAATTCCCCCGGAGGGTAAGGCCCAGGCCAAGGAGGGCAGGACTAGACAGCTGAAGCACAATGGACAATATTCCAGGCTCTTCCAGAGTGTTTTCTGTTTGGATGATTTTTCCCCCATTGGCCAGATGAACAGAACCAGTTTGTTTGCAAACCACATAGCATCACTGGTCGTGTCTGGTTTTGACATCATATTTCCAGAAGTTTCCCTTGTTATTACACTAGCTGTCATTTTGGGCAAGGGTCCATTATGCACCTCCCTCAATGTTGTCTCTCATTTAAGAGATGATAGCAGACAGGGCCGAGCAGATCCCATAGGCTGGGGGAATCTGCTGTGCAGATGGCCTTTACCAATACCATTTGGAGGGGGATGAGGTGACTGTATCAGCCTCTTTGCATGTCCTTACAAGACTCAAGGGAAGATCCTCACAGAATACCCTGGCTAGAAGCAATGCAGTGCCAGTTGGAACTCCACACAAGGCCTTTACCTCACATCCTTATGTCCATTTCCAGGGAGTCCTTGGGGTTAGTGCTTTGCATGGACCAAGCAGAGGAGACAGCCAATCTGACCTTCCATCCTTGAAGGCTCTCCTCTTGAGAACCATCACCCTCATACTTAAAGAGTGCCATCACAACAAGGCAGGGGCTTCCTGAGGCTGGCTCTCGGTCCTTTACATGGGCAAGCAAACACAGTCAGGGGCACTGTGCCTAATGCATCTTGGACTACTGTGAGATGCCAGTGAACTCAGAGCATCATTTATGCTGTGGCACTCTGACCAAGTAGAAAGACGTATTTACAGGCATTTTAGAACCTTGAAATAGTTTGCTTTGCACTGTGGATCTTAGCAAGAACAGGGTATATCCCATCTCCAGACTTCTGGAGTTTTTATCTGAGGAGCATTTGTTAGCCTGACTCAGGAAATACACTTAGCAATACTAAGTGTGTTATCAGTATACACTCCCACTCTAAGTGGATAGTTTCGTGGATGGAAGTGAAACTGAAGCTCAGGAAAAGCAGTCAAGAAGACACGGGACAGCCACCCACTTGCTCAGCTTCGTCTCTGAGGAGCCCTTGACTTTGTTGGAGTCAAAGGGGGGAGGTGGTGTGGAGAACCCCAAACAGTAGATGGAGTCACCCTAGATCCTCTGGTCTTCAAATGTCTTCAACAAAGTAGATTTGAAGCCCAGGTAAAGAGGCTGTTTTGGAGATGTGCAATACTGTCACATTGGGGAGGAGGGGAGAAACAAGTAGCTTCCCAGCCGCGTCCCAGTCCCCAGTGCCTCCCTGCACCTTCACCTGGCAGACTTACGCATCCCTCATCAGACTAATGCAAGGCTGCAGCCTAAACTCCTCAGCCCACCTTTCTCTGAGCTTTCTGTCTTTCCCATTCACACTCTACCAGGGATGGGGGAGATGAGAAAATTACATTTTAGCTATTGACATTTTTACCTTCAGCTCCCTTTGGATGGGAGCAAATGGGTGAGTGGGGGGCAATAGGAGACTAAATCCCAGAACAATGGTGGAAGCTTTGGTGACCCTGTGAGTATACAATAGACAGAAGAGCCCTTCCTGCAGAGTCACCTGTAACTGAGCCTCTGGATAAAGACTCTCCTGAAGGCCCCTTCTTAAAACTGCCAGCATGGTGGGCAAAGGGTTAAACACGGTGGGGGAGCATAAATGCTGGTATTAGTCATTAGCAGGGCATAGAAAGCAAATGGGATAGACTGGGATAGTGGGATGAGCAAGAGGCTGTGTGGGGACATGCCCTGGGCGTACTGGAGTCTGCCTGCAGATCCAGGAAGGAGAGGATGAAGGCTCGGATGGATAGAGGCCTCTACAGTAGCTCTAGGCTCCAGCCCCATCTGTCCCCTAGGAGCCATGCATTTCTTCCAGAACTGGCCTCATACTGCTGTAGAGCAAGCATCCCTTAGAGCCACTGTTGCTTAGATTGGGCATGGTGCCTGCAAGTGAAGGTTTTAAGCCAGGTTCCTTGTTGTACCCTCCATGGGTTCTGGATATGCTTAGTCTGAGCAGCCACTCATACTCGTGGAGGCAGCCCCTTAAAGTGCCCATGAACAAGGTCTTCTGTGCTCTGAGGAGTTGGATGACCACTGTGTGGCATAGTTTTCGTGTCCATCCTTTGGCCACATCTTCACAGCAAATGCGGGCTTTCAACCGATGGATACAATGCAGCTCAGAGTGGCCGGTGCTAGCCCAGTTCCCCCAGCTTCCAGATCAGTGCTACCTTCCAGCCACAGCCCTGTCCTGGATTGGGGATACAAGGAACTCAGGCTGGCCTGATGTGCCTCACATCTGTCTCCTGAGGTATTCCTCTTTCTGATGAGCCTGCAGATATGATGTCCTGTGTGCCATTTAATTTTTTCCCACTTTTTAAAACAAGAAATGAGCCTTTATATCATAATGCTGAGAGGAAAGTGGTCTTCCTGACACTCTAGGATGCATTCCACATGTTCTGTAGTTAGTCATTTCTCTATGGGTAAAGATTTCCCTTATTTTTTTTTTTTTTTGGTTTCTCTATATTGTTTTGGAGGCTGTCCTGGAACTTGCTCTGTAGACCAGGCTGGTCTCGAATTCTCAGAGATCCACCTGCCTCTGCCTCCTGAATGCTGGGATTAAAGGCATGCACCACCAACGCCCTGCTTTTTTTTTTTTTTGGTTTTTCTCTTAATTTTTGAAACTGCCATATAGCTACATGATTATATAGGATGGAGTGTGAAGTCTCTCAATATCTGTGTGTGTTAAGATGAAGGACATTGTTTTCCATTTGATTTCATGTATGTGTGTTTTGCCTGCATGCATACGTGTACCACATGTGTGCAGTGCCTGCAGAGGCAGACGAGGGTGACAGATCCCAGGGACTGGAGGTATAGCCTTTTATAAAGCCACTGTGTGGGTGCTGGGAATTGAACCTGGGTCCTTTGGAAAATTAGCCAGTGCTTTTAACCACCAACCCATCTCTCTACCCCTAAAATGAAGGACTTTTAAGAAAACAAAAACCATGGCTAGGCAGAGACCCTGGAGCTAGACCACCTGGGTTGGACTGTGTTATTATTTAGCTGTGTGACCCTGAGCAAGGTATTTGACTAGTCTGAGCTTCAGTTTATTAAAAGCTTTGGATCAGTGCTCAACATTAAGTACCATTGTTATGGGGATCATTACTACTGTTTTTGAGTGGCAGGTGCCATGCCAATCTCTTTGCATGGATATGATCATTGTGTGCCTTCATCAACCCTCTGAGGTAAGTATTATAAGTGTCTGCAGCTTAGCAGTGAGAATTCTCAGGCTTGGAGAGGTACATGCAGTTCAATAGCAAGGAAGAGCATAGTCAGTTTTTGAACGAATAGCTGTCTGACACAAGGTGACCTACCCTTATGATGGTGACTTCTTGTACAGGACAGGAACAGGGGATGCTCATGTTGATTCCCGTGTTGGTTACAAAATAACGTCGGGGTCTGGTCTCCCTCTGGGAAATGGGGCTCCCAGGAAACATCTCTGGAAGGCCTTGAACTAGTTAGCAGCTCTGAAGCCCCTGTGTTGACCAGAGCCCTCTCTGTTCCCAGGACATCGAGAAGACCATGAGCACAGCTTTGCATGAGTTGCGGGAACTTGAGAGACAGAACACAGTCAAGCAGGCGCCAGATGTGGTGCTGGACACCCTGGAGCCCCTGAAGAATCCACCAGGCCCTATCAGCTCGGAGCCTGCTAGCCCCCTGCACACCATTGTCATCCGAGACCCTGACGCTGCCATGCGCCGCAGCAGCAGCTCATCCACCGAGATGATGACCACTTTCAAGCCTGCCCTGTCGGCTCGCTTGGCTGGTGCCCAGCTGCGTCCACCCCCAATGCGTCCAGTCAGACCCGTGGTCCAGCACCGATCCTCCAGCAGCAGCAGCTCGGGCGTGGGCAGCCCAGCTGTGACACCTACCGAGAAGATGTTCCCCAATAGCTCCTCAGACAAGTCTGGCACTATGTGACCTGCAGGACCGGTGATACCGCCATGGCCTACTGCTGCACACCATGGCCTAGGGTGGCCTTGGTGGCTTCCACTTGCTTTCCAGGAATCTCCTGGCCTTGGAGGCAGATCCTAGAAGGTCAGCCTGTCTGTGGAGAGCAGAGGCCCAGGTGTTAGCTACACCTCCTACTCAGCCATGTGAATGCCACAGACCTCTTGTGGGCAAATAGACATGCCGAGGAATGCTGGAGCAAGATCAGTCCCAAGGACAGTGTTTCCTAACATTGAGGCAGATGCTTACCAGCTCAAATATTGTCACTGGAAAATTATTCTCTCGATATTCTCTACATACGTATATATGTGTGTGTATATAAATACGTGCATATATACGCATATGTGTACGTATGTGTCTGTAGGTGTGTGTGTATATATATTTATGCATCTATATACATATACTAGAGAGCTGGACATACACACATGCTAACTGTATATAGACGCTCCTTTTTTTCTTTTTATGAAACTTAGATTTACCTCAGACCCATGCCACCAAACATCTCCCACTGTTACTCGGTGGGATTTGCAGGGACTTATCTGGGAGAACTTAGAGGCCCCACAGTAACTGCGAACGAAGCAATATACCACTAACCTGCAGAGACACAAAACCAGAAACAGTCTCCAGCTGTCTCCAGAAGTCGTGGCCTTTCAGAACAGTCTGCCCCTCAAGGAAGGGTGGGGCAGGCGGTACCCCCAAGCAGGCTGCTCCTAAAGGTGGGGGACCCTTCATAGAAAACCCTTCATCCACCCCAGAGACCCTGCCCTGCCACCCGGAGGCCAAAGGTCAACTGCACCCTAAAAGGCACAGAGGAGGTTGGTGTGAAGACCCTTGGGTTTGTATGCAGAATCCGGGTGGTGAGATGCTATGCCCCACCATAGCACAGAATCCGGGTGGTAAGATGCTATGCCCCATCATAGCACAGAATCCGGGTGGTGAGATGCTATGCCCCATCATAGCACAGCATTACCTGTGGTTAGGGAAAAATGAACAAAAACCCTACAAAAACCAAACAGTAGTATGGAATATTTCACACCCTAGACATGCTGTAGGGACAAATCTGTGGTGACTATAGAAGTTTACTTCTCTTATCTTCACAATATTTAATGGTTTTCTTCTTTTTCTACTAATTATGCTATGTCAGATTTGGAAGGAAATGGGCAAGGAGGTGTCGAGTCACACCATTTCTTTTGAAATTAGGCCACAGCACACTGTGCTTCCCCACCGGAGCCTCCAGTGCCCAGGCAGCCCTTTACCTCCGTCCTAGGAGCGCTGTGCTAGGAAACACCACAGGGCAGGGTTTTATGGAAGTGGGAGTGCTCCCCACCCTCCCTCCCTCTTCCTCCCTTTCTTCTAAAGCAGTTAATGTAGACAAAACATGGTGGTAGAAACGAAGCTCGTGATCGCAATAGGACGAAAGCCTTCCGCATGGCTCTTTGGTTCCATTTTACCTGCACTTTTGCTGTCTCCATTTTCCAGATACTTCCAGATTTTCTGGCAATGTGTCACGGGCAAATCTAATCCTGATGGGACCATTTCTGCTCTCCCTCCTTATGCCAAACAAAGAATCTCCCTGTTCTCTCTCTCTCTCTCTCTCTCTCTCTCTCTCTCTCTCTCTCTCTCTCTCTCTCTCTCTCTCTCTCTCTCTCTCTCTCTCTCACACACACACACACACACACACCTTCTGGCTGGCTCTCTGCCTGCCTCTGAGTTTTACGGTACAAAACTCAGAATTTGAGTAACAGCTCCCACCAGATAGGATCTGTGTGACCCTTGGATACAGCACTCCTGTTACCTACAGACACTTTGAAATGCCATCCTTGGCTTTTCTTCCCATTGGGCTTGCTTCCACCATCTCTTTGGTCCTCCATTAAAAGGAAACTTCCCTCTTCCCAGGGAGGGAACCTGGTGTGGCACTGGTACTTGGGTGTGGGAAGGATCACTTTCTGCTTTGCCTGTAGGATCAGGGCTGGGTAGAATGTGGAATCAAGAATGGGCACAAAATGAGAATGTCAGGGAGAGGCCGAGCCACCATGCCTTCTTCCCTCTCAACCATTGCTATAATGGGCCCTCTGTCTTTGAGCTCATAAATCTCCATTTTATAGTTGAAGAGAGTAAGGCCTGGGGAGTGGGCTGGAACCTGTGCAAGATATGGCAGATGGCCTAGTGGGCTACATCAGGTCAGGTTCTGGAAGCCCTCATTTCCAAGTGTCTGCTATCTCTGCTATGCACCCAGGAGATAAGATGTCTCTTTTGTATCCCAGGGCTAGCTATCCCCAGATTTTTAATTCTACTTACCTCCCAGGCAAAATGCAACATCCGCTGCCTGAATACTGGATACAAGCAAAATTGAGTTTACAAATCCATTCCCTGACACACCTAACACCAGTTAGGCTATGCAGATCTGTCTCTGCGTTGACTTATTTCAGTTTTCCTTGCTGCCTCTCCCCAAATGTCCCAAGAGCAGAGCCTCAGCTGTTTTCCTTAAGCATCTATTTTTTCCCCATCGGCAAGTGGCTGATGAGTTCACATTTAGGGAAGAGCATGCACAGATGGCAGTCGAGTCCCCAACCCCTCCAACCCCCAATCTGAGCTTTGATGCAGAACAAATGGAAAAACACTGTCCACCCCCATTCCCAACTCACACTTCATCTGGTCCCCTGCATGTCTCAGCCACCCCCAGGCCCCAACTCAGTCCCATCCGTGTCTATCGAGTGTGAGCATCTCCCTTCCAACTCCTGCCTGTTTTTAGTCCACTATATATCGCTGTATTTGTTAAATGCTGGAAAGTAACTGTTAAAATGTGAAACTGTAATTTTTTTAAAGAAGGCTACAATTACATTATTATAGCCAATGCCACTCACCAAATCTTTGCACCTAGTAGATAGATCAATGTAAAAACAAATACCAGAAACCTAATTGTACAGTGATTGGGGTGGGGGGTGTAGTAACATAGTTAGTAGTCCTCAATATAGCCAAGCGTACGAGGGGAAGTGGTGTCTACCAATGTTCATCACCATTATTGAAAGCTGTGCTGATCAGTTAGTTGATAACGGGCATTTAAAAAAATTATTTTGGCTTCACAGAATGATTTCTTAACTTCCAACTCATCCGAGATCAAGCCTTTTGTCTTTATGTATAACCGGTGTTCAGTCTGTTTTAGGAATGAACCAGCAAGATGTTCATTTAATTAAAACTGACCAAAGACCATTAATTCCTGGTCTAGTTTCCTGGGCACTGTGTGGCCCAGCTGCCACTAAAGACCTTTCTCCGATCAATTTGAGAACAAGCTGTGCTTCCGACCCCACTCGCCCTCCCTGCCCTCCCTTCTCTTTTCCTCGTCGAGCTGCTCTGAGCTGTGGATCCTGTGAACAACTGTCGTCTTTCCTTGTTTTCAGTGCTAACTTTTCACCTTGAAGCGCCTTTTGAACCCCGGACAGAGCACACAGCTGGAGGGAATTGTGGGCTTGGGAGTTAAGACTAGAGAGTCTTTTCTCTGAAGTCACTAAACCAGGGGTCAGGAGAGAAATGGATTCCCAAGGAACAGAAAGGTTTATGTCTAGAGAAGAAATCAAATTGGAGTGGGAAGAGACACAGGGAAATGGAGCCATCCATTGGCTACTGGCTGGAACCAGCAGTTCAGAGATCTGCCTTATAAACACTTAAAACACTTGTGGTACACAAGGAGGGGGAGCTGGTGGGAGAGAAACCTGTACACGGGGCTCCCTTCTTTGGCACCTTCTGGAGTGCCTTGTTGGGTGCATTCCTTTCTTATTCAGGAGTCATGGATGCAGAGGACATCTCGTGACCTGGTACCTGGTCATCGTTGAGTGGCCAGTGCACATACATTCGAAACAATTGATGGAAAACCCTGAGGACTCACACAATGACCTCCCTCTTAAGCCTCTCTATGTCCAACTTCTTATCTTCCAGATGGCTCCACACTAGAGCAAAGGCCTCGTTCTCTTGAGAAACCCAGAAAGGAGTGGAGGGGGCTGGTGCTTCTAGCTGTGATAATGAGTCCTACTGGGCTGGAAGGGAAAGGAGTGACAGGGAGAAAAGCAGGAAGGGGTGAGCTGAGACGTCGCTTAGCTGATTTTCTCCTGTGTTAATGCGGACAGTGTAGGTCAACTTCCCCGGTTCTCTGGGGTCTCTTCTCCACTGAGCTGGATTGCAAGTGGAGAGTTCCACGTACTCAAAGCTGCCCAGGGAAACTGCCAGAAGGACTCCACTGTCAGTCTGAGACCTCCTGGCCTCTCTGAGGTTGATCTGCCAGCATTCTATTGTCCCATCATCTGGGACTGGCCAAGCGGCCATTGCTGCCCCTTGTTGACACCTCCTTTCTGTGTGAACTGTCCCAGGCAAATCACAAAGCTGTTCCTTGAAGTGGAACCGCCAGAGTGCACTTTCCTTCCCTAGATGGAAGTGGGTCGAGGCTAGCTCTGCTGTCCAGGCCCTCATTCCAGGCAGTGTGACTGTTTACATGGTTTGGCAATAGGTTTGCTTCTGATTGCTTCAGAGTGGCTGGTCTATTTTGTTTTCTTTGCTTTTCTTCTCCCCTCAAATTGTGACAGGAAAAAAAACTGAAACCACCCCAAGAAATTGCTGGTTACCTGTCCCCATGTGATGCTGTGTTGCCCTCTTCTGGGTATCATTTCTCTACCTTATGACCAAATGCCCGTCCTATAGAGTGTCTGATTGGATCCTCTGTTGCGTATTCTGATGGTGCCTGCTGGTTTGATGTGGAGCTATCCTGTGAAATAAAACAGCTTAACTTCTTTTCTCAAACGTACTCTGTGGTTGTTTGCAAGGGTAACTTGACCAGTGTGGGTAGAGGGCCCAGCGTGGCATTCCTACCCTTCAGTCCACTCTGTTTGTATGCTACCTCCATCAGCCATCCTGAAAATACACTTTAGCTGAAAGCCAAAGTTGCAAGAAGTTGACTGCTTCACGTGTGGAGAGTTAAGAATATGACTAGAAACAGGACAGGGCAGTGAATAACTAAGACCAAGGGAAGCAGGAGCTGTTTGATATTCTAACAAGTATCCTAAAAATTTAAGGACATACTTCCGGAGCCACAGAGCGCTGATGTCTAGTATAAGGCATATGCAAAATTTCAGCATTTGTAGTCTAAGCATAAAACAGCCTCTTGGATCTTTAAGATAGGCATAGGTGTGGATTGTGCATATATGTGTGCCATTAACCAGTGATTTCTGTCCCAAAGTACTAGATTACACCTCCCCCCCCCGGAAATTTCTCATTTAATTTTCAAAACAGCCATTGCAGGTAGTTGCTATCAGACTCAGGCCTACAAGAGGTGAAGCAGAGGCTCCTGGAGGCTAACTGGCTTGCCTAGCCAAGATTCGCATAGAAAATGTGGGAGCAAAGATTTGAACCATCTGTTGACCAAGCCCTGTGCTGCCTCTATGTATTCATGACCCCAAACTGGGTCCAGGATTCTTAGAAAGTGTCTTGTAGCCACCTGCTGCAGTCAAGGAAGACTTCAGGGCTGGAAGCTGCCCCTGCCCGTGGATCTTCATGTAACAGTCTCCAAACCAAAGAGAATGGGTGTTTTTCACATTCCCAGAGCCTACCATACCCATGCATATCCCACGTTCTATGGTGACCTCTTGCTAAGCCAGACTCTTTGGCTATGGAACACATCTAATGCATTCCACAGTCCGTTTACTTGTCATAGCAACGGTGCTCATCCAGGAGCCCCAAATCAGAAGCCTTTCATCCGTCGAGTATCTTTTTATGTGCCTGGCCCTAAGTTAGCTGTCAGGGACACAGATGGATGAGACCCGGTTTCTACCCTCCAGCTCTCAAGCTGCTCACAGCTTGAGATTGCACAAAACAATCACCCCAATCAACTCGGACTCAACAATTCGCAGAACTGTGCCTCTAACTCTGAGACACAGAATTTGCACAAAGGGCAAATTTTAGTTGTCCGGCTGCTTTGCTGCAAGTACACACGATCGGGAGCTGAACTGTTTGCTTCCTGCTCAGATCTGTTTAAGAATTTTTGGTTTATGAATGACAAACTCCCCAACCTAAGTGACCCCAAGCAAGAGGGAATTGGCTACCACATTAGACACGGCAGACTAGAGCTGTCTTAAAGTTTGAGAGGAGGCAAGGATGAAATGGGCACCTTCTTGGGCTATTTCTCTCATTAGCCCACCACAGCCTGTCTCATATGGTGCCTACTCAATGATGCTAAAAGCTTCTACTACCTGCACCTCCTCAGCCTCAGGAGAACAAACATCTTGGGCCTGATTCTCCGTGCTTAGAACTGAGCCACAGGCCCACTCCTAAAGTAACTCAAGAGTGGGAATAGACAACTGTAAGTAGGAGTAGACAGTCCCCTAGATACAAGGGTACTGTCACCTCTATCAGCATAGAATAGCCTCCCACAGGAGATCCCGAGGGCTGCCTTATTCTGTAGGCGCAAGAGTAATAAGAAACAGCAATGGTTTTCAGCCCCACTCAGTTTTAGGGTGGTAGTTAGACTAACTGATACATTACAAAATGCTCAATCAAATGCACTAAAGTTTTCCATTTACCACTGATGACATCCATCAAGTTTGTGCTCTATGCAGAGTGTTTCACATGCTGGCGTGGTTAGGGTTTCTATTGCTGTGAAGAGACACCATGACCATGGCAACTCTTAGAAAGGAAAACAGAATTGGGGCACTTTGCTTACAGTTTCAGAGGTTCAGTCCATTATTGTGGTGGGGAGCATGACAGCGTGCAGGCAGACATGGTGCTGGCTACATCTTGATCATAAGATAACAGGAAGTAGTCTGGCACTGAATGTGGCTTGAGCATATGTAAGGCCTCCACAGTGACACACCTCCTCCAACAGGGTCACACCTTGTAATAGTGCCACTCCCTTTGGGGTCATTTTCTTTCAAAGCAACACACATGCCTTCCCTCCCTGCAACCATACAAGCACTAATGGAGGTAAGTTCTGTTTCCCTGCTTTACAACTGAGGAAACTGAAACTCACAACTAGGACTCCACAGTGTCGTTTCTGCTACCTTGCTTGCTGTAGGACACAGTTCCCAGGATTCTGTGGTCACCAAGTGCCCGATTGTTGGGAGGCTGGGTTGCTCTCAGAACCACTTAATGAGTTAAGTGTGCTCCAGCTTCTTCTGGGGGAATAAATCAATCCTTTATTAATTTCCTTTAAATGCTGATATTAGGGGTAATTTTGATTGATTCTCTGCATTTATACCTTGTTGGTCTTTACTATTATAAGAACACTTTCTGTTCTCTCTCTTTTTCCACTTTAGCTCCTCACAGACCATATGGGTTTGCATTAGATAGATTGTTGAAAAATGAGAGGGGAAGCTGAAGACAGGAGAGGTTTCAGACCCAAGTCTCTAGTTCAGATGAAGGAAGTGGCCTAGCACAACTACCTTCTTCTATAACCTGGGACCACATCTCCCACAGTGCCCTGGGCCCTCCTACGTCAACCACCAATAAAAAAAAAATGCTTCACAGACTTACCTACAGGCCACTTCAGATGATCCCACCAATCAAAAAGAAAAAAGGAAAGAAAAGAAAAATACCTCACAGACTTGCTTATAGGCCACCTCAGTTGACTTCCCTCTTCCCAAATAACAGCATATGCTGACAAAAGTTGACCAAAACAAACAAACAAAAAGCTACCCGGAGCAGGGAGAAATGAGGCCTCTGGTCATCCTGACAAGGCCTTGCTCCCCGCCCCTCACCACTCTTCCACACACCGAGCTTTCCCACTCCAGTCTTACACAGCTCCTGCTTTCAGTGTTGGCAAGCTTCCGTCATGAGTATGTATGCAAAGGCTCTGGGGTCTGTAGATCTCACCTTTGATTGACATCAATAAATGACCTTGGCAAGTGTCACAACCCATGGAACCTCCCTTTGTTAGGATACATGTGGCTAAGAAGAGGCTGTGTCTCAACACAATAGTTTGGAAAGGACTATCTGTAGCACACACATAGACCACCCAAGTCCTGTGGCCACAGGCCCTGGTGACACTGTCACCTGCTTCATCTCTGTGCTCTGTGGAAAGGAAGAGCAAGCTGCTGGGTTTCTAATGACTGGCTGCGTCAAAATAGCTTCAAGGGAAAAGCTTTAGTTCAAATTCTACCATTTACTGGCCACTAACTGGAGGAAGTTTCTTTCCCAGGCTAGCTGTCTCCTATGTCTAAGACAAGGAGCTGGGGAAGCTGATATTATTTCTTCCTGCTCTGCGTGCCTACTTGCTGTATGGTCAGAGGCTGCAGAATCACAGGGGGACTGTCAATCATCCCTGCTCTGCTCACCATGCTTGTTAAAGGAAGTAGCCGGAAGTAGCCTGATGCCTGATGACTTCAGAAAACACTTTTGGTATCAACTTCCTGGTTCCAATGGACTGAGGCATAGATGGCCACTGATGACCCAACAGGAAGTTTGTCAATTGGATAGTAGTAACTCTGTTCCTTGAGCCAATAGATGCCTCTCTTTTTTTTTCCAGGAAGTTTGAGCAGAAGTTGCAAAATGCTGGGTGGTTGGTTAGTGGGAGGAGCAAAAGACAAAAGGCCACACTGACAAGGTCAGATGTAGAGAGAAGCGGTACTTATGGACAACAGGAGACTGAAGTTATGAGGGTGAGATGGAGTGAACACAGCTAATGGTTGGTTGCAGGAAGGCCATGAAGGAGGCCAGAGCCTCCAAGAGCAAAGTCCTATGGACCTGACATCAGAATAACCTGTGTGTCTCCACTGCCATGAAATCACTGAGAGGCTTCCCCCTCCCCTTTTCTCAGTATAACTTGAGTAGTTTCTGTTATCTTGTAATTGGGAGGACCAAGAAGGGATCCAGCACAATGGCTCATCAGATGAAGATGCTGGCATCCAAGCCCAACTACTTGATTTTGATCCACAGGACCCACATGGCAGAAAAAGAAAATCAGGACTCCCCAAAGTTGTCCTTTGACATCTAGGTATACACTGTGGCGCACCAAGCCACACCCCAATAAATAATTAAGTAATAATTAAAATGGAAAAGGAAAAAAAAAAGGAAGTCAATGGTTATAGCTGAGATTCTGAGCCTTAATGTGTTCTTTTAGTCCTCTTGTCTATCCAGTCAATGAATAAACAGCCTGGAGAGGTTGGGAGGTCTGCAGTAGGACCACTGCTAAGAAGCACAGGGTTGGGGCTGATTCAGAGCATCACCCTGTAACCCAGTCTTTGCCCTTCTCCCTCAATGCTGAGGACCAAACAGGGTCATGTAATCAGAACGTAGCCGAGGGCACAACTCCCAGTTTTGCTTCTTGGACCAAAGATACATGTGCTGGATAGTTTTATGTCAATTTGACACACAATAGTCTCATTTGGAAAGAGGGACCCAATTGAGAAAATGCCCCCACCAGACTGACCTGTGGACAAGCCTGTGGTGCATTTTCTTGATTAATGATTGATATGGGCAGTTCTATTCCTGGGCTGATTGATGGTCCTGGGTGATGTAATAAAGCAGGATGAGCAAGCCACAGGGAGAAAGCTAGTCAGCAGCATGCTTCCATGGTCTCTGCATCAGGTTCAGCCTCTAGGTTCTTGCCATTAGTTCCTGACTTGACTTCCCTCAGCGATGATCAGAGAGTGTAAATGAAATAAACTATTTCCTCTCCAAGTTGCTTTTGGTTATGGCATTTATCACTGCAATAGAAACCCTAATCAAAACAGCCTGTTTTTTTTTCAACCTCTCTGCATTTCCCAGCCATTCTTCACTCCCTTGGCTACGTAAGTCTTTGTCCCTCTGAG